TCCGTGTATATCACATCAGCATTCTGTTTCTCTTCTAATGCCTCAGTGACTTTGTCGTAGTGCTCAAGTAGCTGTGAGAGGCACGATCTTCCCGCTCGAAATCCATGTTGGCCTGGGTTATGAAGGTCATTGGTCTCCATGAAATTGGTGACCTGACTCCTAATCACTCTCTCAAATACTTTTATGATGTGCGATGTTAGTGCAACTGGTCTATAATTTTTTGCCAATGCTTTGCTCCCTCCCTTGTGTAGAGGGGCTATGTCTGCTACTTTAAGTGCATCTGGTATCTCCCCCGTGTCCAAGCTCTTCCTCCACACTATACTGAGTGCCTGTGCTACCGGCACTTTGCATTTCTTTATAAATATTGAATTCCATGAGTCTGGACCTGGGGCCGAGTGCATGGGCATGTTTTCAATTTCTTTTTCAAAATTTAGTGCGCTCGTGTTTATATCAGTTATATTTACCGGGGTTTGAATATCCCGCATAAAGAAAATGTCTGGATCTTCCACCTTCATGTTGTTTATTGGAGTGCTAAACATGTCCTCATACTGCTTTTTTAGGATTTCACTAATTTCTTTGTCATCCTCCGTGTATGAACCTTCACTTGTACGAATAGGTCCAATACTGGCAGTGGTTTTTGCTTTTGATTTCGCATATGAGAAGAAATATTTTGGATTTTTCTTTATTTCCTGAATTGCTTTCTGTTCTAACTGCCTTTCTTCAGTTTCATATGAGTGTTTCAATTTCCGCTCGATTTCTTCAATCTCCCTATTTAAATTATTCCTTCTTTGACGGGAAATTCGTGTCTGCATAAGCAGTTCCGTTATTTTTTTCCTGCGTTTATAGTGTCGTCTGCGTTCTCTTTCTACGTTAGATCTCTTTCTGGCTTTCCTCAAAGGAACATGTTTCAGACAGACTTGATACGCTTCTGAAGTAAGTTTTTCTATTCCTTCTGTAGGACTTGTATTATTTAGAACAGTTCCCCATGGAATGTTTGTAAGTTCCCTGTTTATTATCTCCCAGTCTATCCTTTTATTATTAAAATTGAATTTACTGAATAGCCCCTCTCGCTTTATCAACGTTTTAGGTCTATTCTGAGTATTGATGGTCGTTTGCACTTCAATGAGTTTGTGATCTGAGTATGTGGTATCAGAGTTCCGGCCCGCCTCGTGCCGGTTCAAAGGTTGCTGTGCGCCCTCATCTCAGGGTGACAGTCACCTCTTTTGCCTCCGTCATGCTGCCTGTCGGGTCGACAAACCTTTGACTCAATCTTGCAAGTCGTGTTCTCTGCTTGTTCTCCAATACTATTCTGATGACATTATTGTTAGGGTACAGGCAATATGCGTATTGCATGCTAGGTTCAGGTTGCTGCAACGTGCTAGGTTGGTTTTTCACCTCGGGTTCCAACTTAGGGATTCCCAGGTATGGGGAGGAGTCAACCTTTGGGCCTTGGGCTCCTTTTGATCCTGCTTTGGTGTTGCTGTCCTCTTCGTGGGGCTTGTTGCAGGGGGAGGGGTTTTCTTACCCCCCTTTCCCTGTGTGAGTGTGATTTGGGGTCGGCTCCTCCCTGGATTCGGTTCCGGGCTTCCTTTGGTTCCTTGGCCTCGTCCTTCCGGAGGATTTCTTCCTCTCGTATCTCCCCTAGGGAGGTTCGGGAGGCTCTTGCCGAGACCTGGATTCCACCCCTATGATGGATCCATCCTTATTTGAGTACAGTTCTTTTTCCCTGTATTGGGTGCATTTGGAGGTTCTGGAGTCTTCCTGGCTGGCAGACTGCCCATTCTTTTCGTTGGGGGCGTGGCATGGGTTCTGTTGAACCCACACGCTTGAGTGGCGAGAAACTTTTTCCATTTTGTAGGTTTACCTGTGGGGCGAGTTTGAGCGCCTTAATACACGCTTGTTCGCCCCCTGTGCTTTCTTGGGATGTTGGCCTTGTGCAGCTGCACGTGCAGGTTCCTACCCTTTTGGCGTCCTTGGTTGCTTAGGATTTGTGCGCCCTTGGGGAATTGGCTTCATTCTTGTGCTTCTTTTTCCTTCTCGAGCTGTCTTCGGCCGTGTGCCTCATTTCCCTTCTTGAGCTGTCTTCGGCCTGGCTTGAGGAGAATGTGGTGGCGTTGAGTACCAGGCCATCGTCTGGTGTGCTGTCATCGGTGGCTTGGGCGTCAGCTGCGCTGTTGAAGCTGTTTGCGCCTATTGTGAAGGAGGCGGTGTCTGTTCTTTACTTCTCGCCTCGCATGCCATCAGGCTGTGCTTGCGCTCTTTGGAATCGGCTTGAGCCCTGGCTCTTAGGTTTCTGTCGCCGCTTTGTCTGTTGCTGTTTGCGGAATCTGAGGTCACGCAGTTTCTGGAGGCGGTCTCGTCTAGTTGTCGTCTTATCTCGGACTTGTTGGTTCTCCAGGGTGGCCGTTTTCGGCCTTCTCAGAAGGGTCGTGTCGGCTTGGGGGTTCCACTGGTTGAGGTTGGGCATTGGTGCCAGCTTCTGAGCCAACGTTGCCTCCGGAGCCAGCGTCGTCTGGTCAGCGCGATGATCACTCTGTTCGTCAGCTGGATTCTTGTAAGGGGCAATGACCCTTTTGCGGTTCACCCCGTTGAGGGGGCGTTGGGGTGGGGGTCTCGCAATTGGTCCCACGGTTCGTGGGCGATTTGCCATGCTGGACTTTCTGCTGAGATGGGTTTGGCTTCGGCATCTGTTCTGGTTCCTTCAAAGATGCCCCTTCCGCTTCTCTAGCGATTGCTGGGTTCATACTCTGGGGGCCTTGTTTAGATTGCTATGTTGCCGACTTCCTCTTCGGGACTTTCGGGGTTCAGTGTCTTGGTGCCTACACGAGCCCTCGCTCAATGTGTTCACGGACGCGTCATTTCTTGGCTAAGGCATTGTGACCGGTGCTCACCAGGCCAGCCAGGAGCGATGGGGTCCGTCGGGCTCACAGCACAGTGTGGGAGTTTGCGCCGGTTTGGCGATTGCTTCGGATGGTTCGGGTTGCTCGGGGTTGGACCATCCGGCTCCATTTGGACTGTTCTCCGGTGGTTCATTCCCTGAACCGTGAGGGTTCCCTTTGGTCCTTGCCCCTTTGGGGCTGGTCGCTTTGAGTTATTCGTCTGCTGGCTTCTCAGGGTTTGGCGTTCCGTGCGGTTCATATTCGTGGAGTGTCCAACGTCCTGGCGGACGGCCAGTCTCAGTTCATTCCCCTGTCCATGGAATGGATGGTCGACACCGACTCCTTCTGTTGTCTCTGCCAGACGAACGGACTCCCGGATGTGGACCTCTTCGCGTCAGTGTGGTTTTGGTGTCTCCCGGTCTATGTGGCACCCTTCCCCAACTGTGAGGCTGTCCCGGTGGACGTCTTTTGGCAGGACTGGTCGAGGTGGGGTTACCTGTACCTCTTTCCCTCCAGCTGTTGCTTCGGGTTCTGGCTTGGAGTCCTGCCCAGGGAGTGTATTCCTCGTGGCCCCTTGGTGGCCAGCCCAGCCTTGGTTCCAGGTGCTGCTTGCTTGGTGTGCGAACCCGGGGCATTTTCCGCGGCTCTACCTCTTCCAGCAGGTCAGACCAGTCCGGTACACGGCTGGCTCGGTCGTTTCCTCCACTCTTCGTGTCTGGTCTTTTTTGACACGGGTGTATCACCATTTGTATGGTGATCAAGTGGCTTTGTTGATGGTATGCTACCTGAGAGCTTCTTTTCGGCGACAGTATGAAGTTTCCTGGCGTTCTTTCAGTCATTTTCTCTCTATTTGTAGGTTGTCTTATATTTCTGATCGGGTTGTCTTGTCCTTTCTATCTTGGCTTTTTCAGGACAGTCATTTGATGCCTAATACTGTCACCTCATATCGTGCGGCGGTGGCGTAGCCGCTCCAGCTTGCGTTTGGGGTGGATGTCGCTTCAAGATGGTTTTTCCAAGGCTCGTTTCTGCTGGTATTAGTCTTTGGGGGTCGGGTCAGTGAGCTTCGTGCTCTCTTCCAGCTCAAGAGTTTCTGCTCTTTTGGTCCTGATAGTCGGTTTGTTCTGTTGCAGCCATCTCCTTCTTTTCTGGCGAAGAAAGAGACCGTGGCGTACCGGAGGGACCCTTGGGTCATTGATGCTTGGTTGGTTAGGCTGGGGGTGCATCATGTGTTGTCTGGTTGTGGCTCTTCGCCGTTATAGGTGCGTTTCGGCTTCTGTGGTTGGGGATATACTTTGGGTTATATCCAGTTTCCCTCATTCCCTGTTCCGTGGCTCGAGTCTTCCAGATAGTCTGTATGGTTATTAAGTCTAGCCAGCCTGCAGTCTATCCTTGTGCCCATGACGTTAGGAAGTTTGCTGTATTGGCTGCTGTGTTTGGCAACATGTCCTGGGCTGATATTCGGGCACGGGGATTTTGGAAATTGAACAGGGTCCTGGCCGCCCGTTAACGTTCCTGCTTCTGGGCGTTCCTATGTTGATTTGGGTCACAGGATGCAGCTAGTTGTCTACTTCACATTGAGGAGTGTGTGGTGGCTGCTTCCCGGGTAAGTCCCTCTTTTCCTTATCTTTGGTTATATAGCTCCAGGAAGCTGTAGGAGCTCTCCACAGAAAACCAGCGTTGAATGTAATGAAACGCTATTTTCTGGGTGAGCCCCAGAGGCTCCCTGGAAACCCTCTCCCCCTCCCATCGGCATTTTTTTGCATTGGTCTGACTTGTGGTCCCCGGTAAGCTGAACTCGATAGACTAATGCCCAGGTCTAATGTATTACAGTTTAGCCCGATATCCCCAGGGCACCTCCGGGGCTCGCCCAGAAATTGGCATTTTATTACATTCAACGCTGTTCTTTTTTTATTACCATCAAATAAAAGCAATCTTAACTGGTGCATATACTGTAATTGCTATCTACTGTTTGCACTTTTATGTCTTAACAGGAGAGGAATGTATCAAGTTTGCTTGTCGAGTGGGAAAATAGTCGTTGAGAAATTTGCTTAAAACATGCAACAACCTGTTTGTTTTTATTAATTTGCTAACACTAGGAATATATGACTTATATTTTTACAGGTATCAAGAAGTACATAGTCAATGTTATTATCAAACTATCCAGCACACCAGAATCCCTTGATAGAGAGAAGGTTTATTTGAATAAGCTGAATATGATTCTTGTACAGGTTAGTATTATATGTTTGTACTTGTACTGGAGCTAATAATTTTATTAGACATTTTTGGATTTATTGTGGCATATATAATATAAATGGCATATACTGCATAAAATAAGTGTAAAAGTACACGCTTGTAGCAATGCTTCCCAAGTTTTTCAATGTTTATATACGGATGGAGTTCAGTATATCAAATCTGACGTATGCAGATGACTCGGTTCTCATCGCAGATTGAGATATACTGTATGTATATTAGTTTGAGGCCTTAAGGATGTGCCTTGAAAGGATAATGATAAGAGTGAATGTAAGTAAAAGTAGTGATAATGAACAGATAGAAAATTGTAACACCTTAATTGAATAGGAAAGTGCTGGAAGCTGGGTTATGTGATTGACTCGATGAAATGGCTGAAGCCAAGTTGAGAATATGAGAAGGAAAGTGAATGACACAATTGAAGCTCTTGTTAAAAAGAAAACAGGAAGTGATATAAATGAAACACTGCATGGAGGATTTCTAGTGCCATTTCTTATGTACAGATGTGCAATATTGGTATGGTATGATCATGGCAAATTGAGTTAGAACAATGGAAATGGACTATCTGAGAATTGTGTGGTGTTGAAAGATTAAATAATTAGTGATCATGGAATGGTGCGGAGTGTAGACGCTGATAATTTCTATGCTTAAATGTTTGAAAAGATGCATGTTTTTTAATATTCAAGGGATTGGTAAGTAAATGTAATCTTGTAGTCTATTAGAGTATGAGAGAAAAGGAATGATGGGCAGATATACAGTAGTGAGTGTGAGAGGAAGTATATATATACTGTAGTGTGGGAGCAGTGGATGAGATGTGGTAGGGAACAAAGGTTGGTGGAAGCAAGTTAAGAAGGGAATGATTGAGTGATATGTTTGTATATTACAACTCATGAGGAGCACTTTACACCTAGTCTTATGAAGCGGTGGAGATGCTGCTGTGGATGATTTGCTGGAGTGTGTTGCTGGTTCTCCAGGATGCTGTTTAGTATGGAAGGTATGGTGTGTGGATGGGTGTCACTATGAATATCTTTTATCTTCTTTTCCTATTTTGCTCTTCTATTTTCTCCAGGCAAATGCCTCCCCAATAAAGAAAGTTAGAAATGGGTTATTGATGATATTGTGATTATATCAAATGAATATTGACTGATTCTTTTCCATGAGTATTTCTCTGGAAATGTTTCTAAATTTACCAACATTTTTCTTTAAAACAGATCCTGAAGCGTGAATGGCCCAAAAATTGGCAGTCGTTTATTCCTGACATAGTTGGGGCAAGTAAAACTAATGAATCTATGTGCCAGAACAATATGGTGATATTGAAATTGCTGTCCGAGGAAGTATTTGATTTCTCAACAGGACAAATGACCCAGACTAAGGCAAAACACTTAAAGGATACAATGTGCTCAGAATTTCAACAAGTTTTTCTTCTTTGTCTTTTTGTTATGGTGAGTCAAGACTGAATTCTTATCTAATGTTCTGTTAAGTTTTTTTATTGTAGTTTAAAAAGGTTCAGTATACATGTTTAATTAGGTTAAATGATTAGGTTAAAATTAGGTTATTCCTGTCTTCTAATTGTCCACCTTTTCCCACTTTTTTTTTTCTCTGTAAAACTCCTGCTTGAATAATAATAAGTTTTCCATCCACTTTCCAGTCACAGATACAGTTCTGTGTGCATAACCATGTCCAAAATGCTTGGGAAGATATTGATATAAGAATATAAATTAGTTTGTAAAATAAACACACTGATGATGATGTGGCAAACCTGTAAATCATCCAGTAATTTGTGGCTAATCTGTGTAAAAATTCCCAAAAAACTTGGTATGAAACTTTCCAAACTTGGTATGAAAGTGCTTAACAGCATATCATAAGTGTGCTTCCTCTGATACCATGCAGGGCAAGGGCTTCCTGTAGTTATTGTAGAGCGTGTTACTTATCTACTTCATTTGAAATGCACAGCTTGGTACAATGATTTATGTACACAAATATTTATGTGAAATGTTCAAAAACTTTTACAGTTGGTTTAAACTGGGTGTGGCTTATATTTAAGAAAATGTGGCATTTGAACATTCTAACTATTTAGGCAATAGTCCAAGCTAGTTGCATTCAGACCTGGTGTACTGTTGCGCACAGTACACCTGTGCTTCCTCAACATATCGCCTATGAGGAATATCATTGCTTGCTTGTTTCCATTTGCCAGGAAGTGTTGCTTTCTGCCAATAAACTTCTTGACTTGAGATTCACATTTCTGCTTGTCTTGGTGCTGTCTTCTGTGGGCCATGTCCTTGATCATAAGACCTGCTGCAGCCATAAAAAACAATGGTAGCTTTTCCTTAGGCTTTCAGAATGAAATCAGCATAGAAGTTTGCTGTTTACTCATTTTAGCAGCAGCAGCTTCTAGGTAAATCTTCTGTAGCTCAATATCAATTTATCGACTTTTGGTTGTAAGTTCGAAGAATATCATTAGCAGTCATCCATAGTGTTAGAACACCTGATATTCACTCATTCACCCAACACTGATATTCTCCTTAAATCCTTAATGTTCTGAAAGCTTCTCTTCATGTGCCTATGTTTGTAGATAGAGCTCTGATTTCTTTCAAGATACCATGGATTTTGGAAATTAAATCTAATCAGCAGTTGTTTTTCATCAGTCTCATCCAGGTGAGTACATGTCTGAAGGAATGCTTAGTATTGCTCTTCATTACATGGTCTTTCTATGAACTCTGTTCAGCGGAAAGGAATCGGCAGCATGAAAATCCGGCAAATAATACTCCATACGACATCTTACCTTAAACAACCAATCATCACAGTGACTTTCACTGCACCTTTTTATGGGTTTGCAGAACTTTGAAAGTCTGCTTTCACATGCCTTTTTTTTTTTTTTTTTTAGATGTCCACAAAGGTATCACAAAAGTGTTAGGCACTAACTGCATCTTCATTTAAACAAGAATTTTTCCCTGGTAATGCTTTGGCTGTACAGTATTGCCATTTCTGTATTCAAATGGTCATCTTATCTGTTAACTTTTTCTAACATGAACACTTATTTTAGCTGTTGTAAGAACATCGCTTCTATGGGTACAGTTGACCTCATTTATATCATCTGCTTCTTTTTGCAAAATGTTAACCATCTCCTGTTTACTGTTCAGTTTCACCTTGCAAATCATTCGCAAATCTTCAGAGGTTTGCATTCTTGAAGGCGGACTTTTGTTGAAACACGGAAATAAAACGCAAAATATCAGTGTTGCAATGTTTAAAAGAAATATATGGAAATAATAACTATTTTACTTGTTAACATTGTCTCTCTTTACAATGTGTAAATTATATTTATTGTATTTTGTAAAAAAATAGCCAGTCTGGCATATTGAAATCAATTTTGGGGGAGTTCCCAGGATCTGACTCTGATTTTGGATATGTTATTCAGCAATGGTTCCTGAGCTGGAAATAGTTTAGTAAGCTTCTGAAGCAATTTTGCCCAGGTTAAAGGGATATTTGCTCTAGATTGTCTGGACTATAATGCTAATGAATTTTTCTCAACTCTTAACAGCTCTGATGTTATAAATTCTCTAATGCATTGTAACTACCATGTGAATTATTCATGTTGCTGTCACATTTGACATTTTAACTGGGAAGTTAGCCAAGACAAACTACATAATTTATTAATATCTACGTAGAGCAAATACCTTTTAGATACTGTACATTTTTTTATTGCAGGAAAACTCCCAGAACCCAACGCTTGTTAGTGCCACACTTGAAACTCTCCTCAGGTTTCTCAACTGGATTCCTCTCGGTTATATTTTTGAGACCAAGCTTATCAGTACTCTCATATACAAGGTAATACAGAATTTATAGTGACTATTGTGATGTACAATAGATTTCTGAATCATTGATTATACTTAAATGTTCTTCTTCTGTTAATCATAGTTACTGTATCCTTGATAAAAGTTTATTTAGTTATGAACAAATCCACAAGGGCCGTGACGAGGATTCGAACCTGCGTCCGGGAGCGTCACAGACACTGCCTTAATTGACTGACCTACGACAGGGTAAAAGGGTTGAAACCGAAGAAAACTTTGGTTTCAACCCTTTTCCCTGTCGTAGCTCAGTCAATTAAGGCAGTGTCTGGGATGCTCCCGGACGTAGGTTCGAATCCTCATCACGGCCCTTGTGGATTTGTTCATTTGATGCATCACGTTAGTGTGATCTCTGTGTGTGATTTATTTAGTTATGTTTTGTCATTGGCACATTACTGATGCATTCAATATTACCTTTCAGTTTTTAGGCCTGCCACTGTTTCGGAATGTGACACTAAAATGTCTGACGGAGATAGCTGGTGTTGCTGTACCTTCTTACGATGAATCCTACATAATGATGTTCTCCCAGACTATTACACAGCTGCAGGAGGTCAGGAAACTACTATATGTTGGATAATGAGAATGGCTTAACTTTATTAAATTAAATAAACATTTGCAACCTATATAGACTGCATTCAAGACAAAAAGCTTAGGCATACCACAATTAAGGATATCTTTAGTATTTTCATTTAAGAACAAAAGTATTATTGCAGTTGATGAGTAATGTAATCTAATGACAATTCCCCCCATTCTGCATGATATCTTGAATGGTCATATTGCCATTACTATCAGCATGTAGCTGACATGTTTCTGCAATTTTTTTTATAAATATGCATTTATTTTTGCTTGCAAAAGTAAGAAAATGGCAAAAAAACTATCTGGTTTTCACAGTATCTGGATGGGGAAGACGGTAGGTTTTCCCCATCCTGAGGGAGACCCTGAGTGCATTAGCTCTGGAATCACTGTAAGAAGAAAGACCATAAAGGGGCTAAATCTTTGCCAGATTTTGTAAAACCAAGTTTCTTTGCATTATTGACCAGTGAAGTCCTGTGTCAATTATTTTATTTAGCTTGAGAGCATTTTTGTAAATTGTAAACTCGACTCCATTCAGTTGCATCAACAAGTGAAAGCTCCTGTCTACCCCCTCTTTCCACCTATACAGGGAGAAAAAGAAAACCTAAGAGTGGATATTGGTATAAATTCAGCACCAATTCTTGCTAATCATGGGATAACATTGGCACTATACTGAAAACAATGATCTTAGCAATGACATTCATGACAATTTACTAAACCGAGGACCTGTAGTAGAATATATAGCATGAAGATGGGATCAGTATCATGTAAAGATTAAAAAATAATACCAAAGTTTGCAGCAAAGCTAGTACCTGAATCAAGTCATCTTTTCAACTAAGTACGTATAGGAAATGTAATCTAACGACTTAAGGAGATTAGGAGGAGCAGACAAGGTATGATCACTTTGTACAAAATATTGAGGGAATAGACAAGCTAGAAGACCAATTTAACCCTTGGACAGCAGCAATAGCAAAATGGTCATTACTTATGCAAAAAAAATAAAATAAGCTAAAATTTAATTAAAGAATTATTAATTTGTATGCTAAATGTAAAAAAAAAAAAGAAATGAAAATGTGAATATCTTTCTACTGGGTGGAGGCACTCTGAAAGGTGGACTGGCTATGGGATCTGGCTTGTCAACCCACAATGCCCGACTTTGCTGACACTGAGGTATGAGAGACACGACTCCTTGTGTTATCCTCAGATGTTTCACGCGATTGTTTATCACTGGTTTCTCTTTATTTACAAGAGTACGTGTGTTGAATAACTTGATAAATCACATAATGCATGAGGATAATCTTTCAATTGATGATTGGTTTACTTGGTATACTCCATTACTGTAACGGGGGGTGGGGGAAATAGCTCTATCTTGTCCATTATTCATCATTATGTCCATCATTACTAGAAGATTAAACTCCAATATGTGCACAAAGAGCTATTATATCCTTATTTGCATCATATGTGTAAAGCCCAGACAATAACTTTAAACCGTCATGTGATGATAGCCGCATTCCTACCAAATCAACACATGATAACCTCTGTCTTAGGGTTAAATTAAGGGAAACTAGAAGTTGAAAATAGAGGGTAACAAAAATCCCTTCACAACCTTGACTGCAAGTGCATCTCAGAATTCAAATGTCAAGAGATTAAAAGTGCACCAGATTAGGTGGTGGTTTCAAGAAAATAGACTTCAGTCCCCATATATTCCAGTAAGTACAGGCAATCCCCTTACAAGGAATGAGTTACATTCAAGCCACTGCGGTTGGAACATATGCATTATAAATTTAATCATAGAAATGCTCATTGCTTTTATGAGCTAACATGGGGTGTAATCTCTGTTTAGAACATTGGAAATATTACAAACTTAAAATAATTTGTCCAACAATTATTGTTATAATGATGAATTTTCTGTGTGCTTAAATACATTTCACTTCCAGATGCTGCCATTAGAAACAAATATCAGAGATGCATATGCAAATGGCCAAGATGCAGAGCAGCAGTTTATTCAAAACCTGGCCTTATTCTTATGTACCTTCCTCAAGGAACGAGGCTCATTAGTGGAAAGAAAACAACTTAGTGATGCTTTACTTAAGGTGAGTATTACTATATTGGTGAATTGTCTTATGAAATATATGCTAATATGTCATGTCATTTATTGGCAATATTCAGGATAATCTCTAAATAATAAGATTAGGTTAAGGCTGCTGTTCCTGTGTTGATTGAACATAATATATGACCAATGTTAGACCAGCCTGGATAGTGAAAAAAAAACATTCAGTGGTCTCAGTGATTTTCAATAAGGATGGTACTGATAGACACCCAAGCTTAACAGGCTAAAAAAGGGGATTGAATCTATAGAAACTTGATAAGATCCAGAAGATATGATTATTACATTAAATGAAAGATCCTTGGAGATAAAGTGGTTAAGGACAAACTGTTTCAGCTAAGTATAACAATGTAGTTCAGACCAGTTCAGTACACTTTTTTTGTTTTCTCTTCCTTGCAGGGATATTCCTGCAAGAGGCCTAACTAAGCCTTTGGCCGATGTACAGTGTTTCTCATTTCAATTTTGCTTCAGTGGTGGATAAATGTTTATGGATCAGGTGTTGCCTTCAGTAAAGTTGTCCCATGTGTTGAACTACTTATGGACTCTTAAATCTATTGTAATCTTTGTAAGAAGATAAAATAAGATATATAGGAAATTGAGAGTAGTGTTAAAATAAATAACCAAAAGTGAAGTGAGCCCCAAGAGCTGAGCGTTGTCTTTATTGTAAAGATGTATAGACATATGATAGGGGCTATTTTTGTTTAAAAAGCTTTATACAAGTATTGGTTTGCCTTGCAAGTGATGTCTGATGTAGGTTACTGGGGATGACTTCTTCATTTAGCTGTGATAGATTGTATTATTCTTCATGGGAATTACAGTCATAAGCTACAGTACTGTAGTTCAAACAATAAGTTGAACATTATACTCTGTGAAATATGGTCGACTAGATGCTGAAAACTTTTATAACTTATTTGTTACAAGTGTTCATTGTTTTTATTTTTTATTTTTATTTAGGCTTTGCAGTACCTGGTATTGATATCTGAAGTAGACGACACAGAAATATTTAAAATTTGCCTCGAGTACTGGAACACACTAGCTTCTGATTTATACAGGGAGTCTCCATTTCTCCCTCCAACCGGCGCCTCACCACTCTATCTTCCAAGACCAAACTCAAGACGACAGTTCTACCAGCCAATTCTTACGAAGGTATGTTGGTCACATATTTTCATTAAGTGCAGATTTATTTGTTCTCTTTTATTTAACTTGCATAACCTTGTACACTTTCAAGTACAAGTAACCAAATACATCTAGTCTGATACCATTATATGTTAAGAGAAATTCCACCTACTGTTGTATGGTAGTCTGTAGAAGTGTTATAAAGTGAGTTGAAGTGTGGAAAGAAAGCTTGATTAATTTATTTTTCAGCAAGGTTTGTGTACAATATCTTGAATATTCTTCATCTTTTGGGTAATTATAATTTTTTCTGTTTTGGTACAATATTTCAAGAATGCCTAACTGGCTATTTTGTTTAATTATATAAATGTTCCATGGGGTTTGTCTTTGTTTCTGTTAAAATCTTAACACTTCATCGTATTGACAATAAAACAAACAATATAGGCAGAACTTTATTTGCGAGATGTTCCAAACGGTCTTTTGGACCAAGTTAGAATTTGAAGAATTCCCAGAACTCCAGGTATTGGTGCATTTCAACATTATACAGGCTTAGTACGGATTATTAGATGACCTGTTGGTGGACATGCATACCACAGTTTTTTTTTTTATTCTGCATGCCACAGTCTCTCATTACATATATTCTTGCATTATTGTACATCAGCCATTCCAGAGTTCATTGTGTTCTGTATTTATAGCTGGAAAGTAGAGCGAGCACTAAATATTAATGTTTTATTAAGTAGAGATAAGTGGCCTTTGATGCCTCTGGAAGACATATATAAATTTTTTTATGGCTTTAGTTTTGCGTGACTTATAGGAAAATAACCCTTGAGAAAATTGAGTGCTTCCTGTATACAGTATGATCATAACCCAAACTTTCCATTTTATATTGGGCAGTTCAGCACTCCTTGAAAGCCATTTTGAGAGTAATTTTACTATTGAAAAATTATACACGTGTAGAATTGTAAATGCACATGAGAGTAAGTTTCTGCCCGAAACGCTATATGTATTAGTGGCTTTGCAAGAATGTAAAAATATCACTCTAAATTTTAATAGAGTAAAAATTAGAGTAATTAGAATGTAAAAAATATCACTCACCAACCCATTGTACCTTGTAAATAAATTATTATTACAGTATTTTTATTATTATTATTATTATTATTAAAGTGGACAATTTTAGAGAGTTTTATTGCCGTCTTGGCCAAGTTGTCTTAATACTAGACACTTGTCTTGTTGTAGCGTGCAAGATCCTGCTCTAGAGCCCTGTCTCATATCTGTTGCACCTTGTGTTTTTATTCCTCCCAACTTCCTTGTATGTAGACTGTGTTAATGGTATCTAATGAGACCTTATTTAAGGTCCAAAGCTGTGTTATTACATTTGCCAGATTAATTTATTCAGTTTTATTGTTGTGCAAGGTTCCGGTTCTCATGTTGGGGGTGTGTGTACTTCAGTCTCTCTTTCTCAAATTTCTGTTGTTGCCTTTCCTTTGATATAGGTGGAATGTGGATAAACACTAGTACAACACTAAGCAATAAAGAACAAGGATTCTCTTGCAGTAGTGTTTACTCCCCTCAGTATCTTGTATGTTATGTCCTCTTCTGCTCCTCCTCGTATGTAGGGTTGTTAGATTGGGTTCTCTTAAAAATATTTTCATATCTTATTCCTTATTTCATATCATTGTTGTAATCGTAGGTATTTTTAAATTCTTTGTGTTTAAAGAAGTTACGAATTATATGCTGGTGCTGCGTATTCTGATGTTAAATTACACAGTATAATGTGCAAAAAAATTTACACAACCTAAGGCATTGTTTAGATTTCTAAATATCGTTTTTAAATTTTTAGCTTCCCGTGTGCATATGATGTTATCACGTTTGCCAGCTTCTGGGGTTAGTGCTGGAATTATGAATACCAATTTTTTTATTTATTTTTTTTGCAGTTATCTTTTGATTCGGATCTTTTTGGCGGGGTCAAATAGTGGCTGCTACTGCTAGCTAGCCACACTGAGAGATAACTTCACATACTGGTTCTTTGCTGTCTTTGAAAGCCCATTGGAGACCAGAGGGAAAACCTGGCTCTCACAAAGACACAGTGAGCAGGGGTCATGATCATTCTCACTTTAGAAACAATCGCCCATAAATGAAGTTAAGGAAAACAACTACAAGGTTCATGGAGTAAACAAAGCAGCAAATGATTGCAAATAATTCACCCAGAAGCTAGGTCAATTACCACTTTGTAATAGCTGACCACCATCAGAGGTCACAGTAGTAGCTGGCAGCTCCTGTGGTGCACAGGAGCTGCCAGTTCCACATGTCATGTCAACAATCCTCAATCCATTATCAGACTTGTCCAACCTGTCCACGAGTCGCTTGCTATTTGAGTCTCGGATGTTCTAGATAAGTGTTGGCCCATCCTTTGGAGTGTTATGTGCTTGGATAGCCAACATTTCTCTAGAAAAGGTGAGTATTGGTCATCCAAGCCAACACTTATCTATTGTTGTTTGCCCTCTATTTCATATCTTGGTGTTGGTACTACTCCATTACCCAGTTAATTATCTTTTGCTAGTTACACGAGTATACTTTTTTTTTTATACCTTCATGAGGAACAGTATCAAATGCCTTCTACTAGTCTTCTTAGCCCCTTTTTTTTTTCATGCTCTATTTTAGAATTGTCAGTTTTGTGAGATGATTTTCTCAGTTTAAGTCTTTCTTGCCCCCACTATTATGGTTTGTTATCTAGGTGCTCCATCTTTTTCTTCATTATTCATTCCAGTTCTATGTAAAGATTTTTTGCTAATGACATTAGTCCATAGTGTATTGATTCCATTGTACCCCTTGGAAATAAAGACCATGTTTATCCTGAAATTTTTGGGACTTGTCCGTTCCTCTGATTTTTCATTTAAAATTGTAAATAATGAATATGAGCAATTAAAACTTCTTGCAGCCATTGTGACTGGTCTAACCCTAGTACTTACCTTTTACTTGCTATACTGTAATGTTGCATTTAGCTGTCCATCTTTTTCAGTCTTTGGCCTCCATTCTGATGGAGGTACAGCCTGCTATTAGTCCTGGAGGACTAATTGCAGGCTGTACCGTGCTGGTGTTTAGTCTTGTGCCATTCTTTTTCTTTTCTTTGGTCGTGTCTCCTTTCAGCTCAACAGTGTAAACAAAATACATTGCAATGGTCCCAAGCTTCCAGTGGTAATTTGTTCAAAATTTTCTCAATATTCAACTCAGTTTGAGTGAATGTAGTAGGTATCCGTCAATCCCGTGGGGTTATGGAGTTATGCCCTGGGTGTCGAGTTGGATGCAACGTCTGCTGTGGCTGTGAGTGAATAATAGATGTGACTACTAGTCAGCTAGTAAAGATCCTCTCCTCTTTTTAGTTTGTCTTCCTGATCTTTCCTCCATTGTGAAGGAGGGACTCCACCCCCCCCCCCCCCCCCCCCCACCCCCCACCCCCAAGCTATTTTCATGTGATTTAAATTGACCAGCATTAGCTTGGCAATTCTTTCCCTTGCTACTGTAGCTGCTTTATCCATGATATAAAATGATAAATGTTTTATTTGAGGTGTTGGATTTGACAGGTGGTGGCAGGATGATCTAGAAAATGATCACATGTCTTCACAGAGGCTCTATGGGCACTGAATTCTGAAATTGTCATTTCTGTTCCCCATCAGCCTCTGGCATTTGGAGGAGCAATGTTACATCTGTTAAATTACTCTGCAGTATCTACATTAAACAGCCAAGGATGTCAGTCGAATGCAATGCTGAATTGTATAAAAACAACTAAGGATGTGAAGTGAACCACAATTGTTAATGGTACTTAATCCCACCTCTTCTAGCTGAAGCTCATTCAACTTGTATACCACTCGCTCCATTCAAGTACTTCTTTAAATCTTTGGCTCATTTGTGTTCACACAAATGTGCCTTCCATCATGATGTCCCTTGCTGGGAAAATAGTGCCCCTCAATATCTTGTACATTCATTCTCCTTGGGTCCTTTCTCCATTCTACTGTTGTTAAAGTTGGCTCTTAGTTTGTTCTCATAGTATGCCCCACTAAGCTCTGGTACGTGTCATGGCATACCTTTCGACTTTCTCAATTTTCTTCTTGTGCTTTACCAGATGTGAGTTCCATGCTGGAGCTGCCCAAAGATCTAGATCTCACCCCCCGTAGACACTGATAGGTAAGCACCACCATCACCTTCACTCTGTATTCATTCATTACATTCTATCATGGAAAATACAGAAGGCAAGAGAAGGGTGGGTGGTTTGCATTTTCCTAAATTATCCCAAAGAAACAAGAAAAACAAAAACTTTAAAGTTTGCCAACAATAAAAGGATGATCATGAGCTAAAAGACAGGCTGGAATAAATGGGAAGAGACTGGGCTTGGTTAGAAAATATGAGAAACGGGGAAACAGGATTGTTAGAAAAGTGTAGTATCCGGATGGGGGAGGTGTTGCTAGTGAGGTCTTTGAGGGTTTAGTTCTGCGACTACTGATGTTCCTGTTTATGTAAATAACCTCGCTGAAGGAAGATCATATGACATATGCATACGAAAGGTAAAAAAAACAAAAAACGTACTGGTTGATACATCAGGCATCAACTATATGCTGCTAGTATTTGTAAACAAATGTCTGCTGATGCTTAATCATAATTAATAGAAAGTAATGAGGTTTGAGAGGTGGAGGGGGGGGGTAGAAGATGCCCCCTCTCAAACCTCGGTACAGTATAGTACAGTACAGTGAGGGCGGCAGTTTCAAGAATCGGTTAAGGAGAATATCCTGGGTGTGGATATACTGCAAACATTAGCACCAGAGGCATGTTTAAAAAGAAAAACATCAGTGATGGCAAAACTGGCAAGCATAAGACTGGGCATTTGTGCATATAAACACAAATATTTAATATGACAAAAACTGGCAAGCATAAGACTGGGCATTTGTGCATATAAACACACACATTTAATATGACAAAAACTGGCAAGCATAAGACTGGGCATTTGTGCATATAAACACACATATTTAATGACAAAAACTAGCAAGCATAAGACAGGGCATTTGTGCATATAAACACAAATATTTAATTTGTCTCAAAATATTTACATAACCTATATTAGACTAGTTCTAGAATGTGCAGCAACAGCATGGTACCAATGTATGTTTAACAAGAGCAAAATGAAATTCTAAGATATAAAATTGAAACTTACCACTGATAAAATGTGAGCTATGGGAAAATGCCAAGAAAGCTAAATCTAACCAAAAGAGAGAAGTTGTACAAGACGATTTGATCGTATGTACAGTATACGTACAGGGGAATAGTTTATGTGGGTAGATTTGATTTTTCCAGGAGAGGAAAAAATTGATGAGGGGGGGGGGGGCAAACTAGTGAAGTTGGAAACAGTTTGACCAGAGAGATGTACCAAACAAAAAAAAAATATACAAAGATAGTGGTAAACAAGTTGAATGAACTTCAGCCAGAAGTTGTGAAAACAGCCACAATGCATAGCTTCAAGAGGAAATATATCAATACTAAAATGCCAAGGTACAATAAATCAAAGATTGGGATCTAGGGCTAAAATCCGTACTTCCTTTATACAGTCATCAGTAATCTTCATGATTATTGATGACTGAAAATCTAATTAGTAAATTTCCAACATTTTGTTAGATTAAGTAACAAAATGTTGGAAATTTACAAACTTTCCAAGAGTTGGAGCAAGGCAAATATTTGTCTTGTTAAATACTGATCTTTGAGAAAGGGATGAGTAAGAGAAGACCAGAAAGATACAACACGGGCAGACAATTATAGGCCTTGGAACAAGAGTGTGACTTGAGAGTAGATGCAATACCAAAACTGATACTGGACGTGCATATAAATAGAATAACGTCAGCATTTTTTGTATCTTTCCGAGGCAATTTGCACTGTCTGTCAAACCAATCTTTAAATATGCAGCATCTACTTTGATTTTACATTTAGTGAAACACACAAATCATGAAAACTGGCTAAGGAAACAAAATCACACCAATTCTTGAACAAGATGTTGTGACTGGAAGTTGGAAACACAATCTACTTGAGAACTACCCTCACATTTGTATATATATAGTTAAGGGTAGTAAGCATATGGAATGTACTGAAAAGTGGTAGGTGAAGCTGCCTCCATCCACAACTTCAAGAGCAAATATGAAGTAAAATGTAAAGAAATTTATGCACCAGGGACAAATAGCATGGAGGCAGGGTCCAAAGAGCTAGATCTCACTCCCTGTAGGATACTTCTTATACTTTCATTTATTCATGGGTTACCTCACAATGGCTACAATCTGTACACATCTAGTTGTTTGCATAAATTATTCAGGTGAAACAGTAAATTTTGTTTTGACTGGAATACAAACAGAAGGTACAGTACTAATCATGGTTTTACTGTTTATTGGTTTACTTATTGAAGCTGCCACTCATATCTTAAATTGCTCTTGCTGCTCATAACTTTTTCTGCTGCACTTTAGAGTAAATCTGTGAACTTTATAACTTCCTTGATCAACTGTGATTGACATATCTATATCTAATATTTGGCTATATGTAATGGAAGCTTGATACAAAGGTGATTGCAGGTGTTAGTCTCAACTGACGAATCAGGTGGGTGTGTGTATCAAGTATTAAAGCTGACGTGTTTAAAGTTTGGCTCCATGGTCTTTAGCATCGAGGTTTTGTTTAATAGATATATTCATTCTGTTGTGTTGAGCATAAGCATTTGTGACATAAGATAATGATGCTTTGCAGGTGAGAGCGTTGATGATCAGTCGAATGGCAAAACCAGAAGAGGTTTTGGTCGTTGAAAATGAGCAAGGTGAAGTAGTAAGAGAGTTCATGCGTGATACAGACTCTATTAATATGTACAAAAATATGCGCGAAACTCTGGTTTATCTTACGCATTTGGACTACGCTGATACAGAACGAATCATGACAGAAAAACTCGCCAATCAGGTATGTGTTGGTGTCAGCGTAGTTTTTTATTAACTTTTATTCACAAGACATTGCCATCTACTTTAGAGCTAACTGTATTACAGGTATTTTAACTATTGAAATATCTATTTTTTATATTGAATATACAGTATCTGTATAGGTATGAATAGTTGCATTTTCCTTTAGCATTTGCTCTATATGCCTAATAATAAATGTTTATGCAGGCGATGAGTCACAATAACGTGGCTGAAGTATGTTGACCAGACCACACACTAGAAATTGAAGGGACGACGACGTTTCGGTCCGTCCTGGACCATTCTCAAGTCGATTCTCAATCGACTTGAGAATGGTCCAGGACGGACCGAAACGTCGTCGTCCCTTCAATTTCTAGTGTGTGGTCTGGTCAACATCAATAAATGTTTAAATTTTGATTTAGTCTGAACATGTTTTTACCCTTTAGCAAGTCTTGCCCTTACCCTACCCAAGGCATTTTCGTGCGTGAGCATGTGTATCTCCCTCTCCATCTTTTGCATTTGTTTCCTCCCCCACTTCCCCGTTTCATGCCTGCAAGTGAAACACTGAGCTAGGTGCTGGCCAGGAATGGGTAGATAATGTATATATATACATTATATATATATATATATATGTCGTACCTAGTAGCCAGAACGCACTTCTCAGCCTACTATGCAAAGCCCGATTTGCGTAATAAGCCAAGTTTTCATGAATTAATTGTTTTTCGACTACCTAACCTAACCTAACTTTTTCAGATACCTAACCTAACCTAACCTATAAAGATAGGTTAGGTAGGGTTGGTTAGGTTCGGTCATATATCTACGTTAATTTTAACTCCAATAAAAAAAAATTGACCTCATACATAATGAAATGGGTAGCTTTATCATTTCATAAGAAAAAAATTAGAGAAAATATATTAATTCAGGAGAGTTATATATATATTATAAATATATATATATTATAAATATATATATATATATTATAAATATATATATATATTATAAATATATATATATATATATATATATATATATATATATATATATATTATAAATATATATATATATATATATATATATATATGTCGTACCTAGTAGCCAGAACGCACTTCTCGGCCTACTATGCAGGGCCCGATTTGCCTAATAAGCCAAGTTTTCCTGAATTAATATATTTTCTCTAATTTTTTTCTTATAAAATGATAAAGCTACCCATTTCATTATGTATGAGGTCAATTTTTTTTATTGGAGTTAAAATTAACGTAGATATATGACCGAACCTAACCAACCCTACCTAACCTAACCTAACCTAACCTAACCTAACCTATCTTTATAGGTTAGGTTAGGTTAGGTAGCCGAAAAAGTTAGGTTGGTTTAGGTTAGGTAGGTTAGGTAGTCGAAAAACAATTAATTCAGGAAAACTTGGCTTATTAGGCAAATCAGGCCTTGCATAGTAGGCTGAGAAGTGCGTTCTGGCTACTAGGTACGACATATATATATATATATATATATATAATGTAATTTTATTTATTTTGTATGAAAAGTTAATCTTATCCAAATTACTCTTCATTGTGTTCAGCAAATTTGAAAGACATACTTTGGCATCATGCAATGTGTTGTTTAAAGTATTTGAAGAATATAGTCCCCTTTCCATAGTTTTGGGAGCCAATTTATTTGGATTTATATATCTAAAAAGAAGCTTTCGTTTTTCAAGTTTATCATAAGTGCGTTTATTACTTGAAATGAAAATGCCAGTGCCTGTTTCCTGTTAACATTTATTATGCTGCTTTATTTTGAGAGGTGTTGTGTGCCTGTGAAAATTACATGCCTGTTTTGGTGCTTCAGGATGTCTGTAATGCATCTAGTGTTTGTAAATTGAAAAACATATCCAAAGTTGTGCAGTTGGTTTCTAAGAAGTGGAAATAGTGTGTGTATGTAGTTTACATAGGATTTCTGTGATGCTAATAGTACTTTTAATAGAAATAGGGCATCTAGAGGTTGGATACTGTATCAGTTATGCAAATTAGGCTTTTGTAGAGTATCACTTTAGAAAGAAACGGTACCATCGTTTTGGTCATTGGGGGCCTCATAGCCTGGTGGATAGCGCGCAGGACTCGTAATTCTGTAGCGCGGGTTCGATTCCCGCACGAGGCAGAAACAAATGGGCAAAGTTTCTTTCACCCTGAATGCCCCTGTTACCTAGCAGTGAATAGGTACCTGGGAGTTAGTCAGCTGTCACAGGCTGCTTCCTGGGGGTGGAGGCCTGGTCGAGGACCGGGCTGCGGGGACACTAAAGCCCCGAAATCATCTCAAGATAACCTCAAGATATAACCATATTATAAATATAGAACTTGTATAGAGAGAATATAACGGTTTCAAGATTATTTACTTTAATAAATTTCTGCTGTGATATCATTTAATGCAATGTGAGGTGGTTGATGATAAAACTGAAGGTTGAATGAATGAATTCAGGAAGTGAGGTAGCTGGTTGAATAATATAAGTAATCAAGTACAATATTGTTAATAAGCTATGATTTGTATTGCATTACATGCTGAAAAATATTTGAAAATGACTAAATTTAAACAAATCAACGATCAGCTTGGTAATGCCCCTCCCACCCCCAACCCCCATTTTTTTTTTTTTTAGGTTAACGGCAGTGAATGGTCTTGGCGAAATCTAAACACCCTCTGTTGGGCTGTAGGATCCATTAGTGGAGCCATGCCAGAAGAAGATGAAAAGCGTTTCTTGGTGATTGTGATAAAGGATTTGCTGGGTCTTTGTGAGCAGAAAAGAGGCAAGGATAATAAAGCAATCATAGCCTCAAATATCATGTACATTGTTGGACAGTATCCCAGATTCCTTCGCATACACTGGCGCTTCCTGAAGACTGTCATCAACAAACTTTTTGAATTCATGCATGGTGAGTAGAGGCACATTGCAGCATATTAGGTTGTCAGCTTATTGTTTAAGTGACAATTATGATTAGTTACGGGTTTGTGAGTTAACTTTTTATTTAGTGTAGAATTTCATTTTCTTATCTCAAAGGGTTGTACAGATTACCACTTGCTATTAAGTTGATGTTTAGTTCATACAGATATCAGTCTTGAGCTGATGTCTTGTGTACCTGTGGGTAGTATTGAATCTGTCTACTCTTATAGCCTGGCCTCAGGTCTGGCTTCTTTGGTGATGCCTGAGTATGGCTTGCATATATTGCCAGTTTTTGTGTGTATTAGTAGAAAAGGTAAAATTGTTAAATATATTTTGTGATTGGTCAGGTTTTTGAAACGGTAAACAGTAGTATTTGAATAAACCAAAAAACTATTACGGCATATGATGGGTTCAAATAAAATTCAAGCTAAATTAAAGTATTAAGTTGAATTATTCTAAACCATTATCTTAGTAATATTTACCAGAATGAATAGGAAAGTTTAATTTATCTTAATATTTATTTGATTTTGAGAGGTCTCTTAAACTATTTTTCACAAAATGTATTTTTTTTTCTCCTCCCAAGAAACCCATGATGGTGTTCAGGACATGGCATGTGATACCTTTATCAAAATTGCTCAGAAATGCCGCCGCCAGTTTGTTCAATTGCAAGTTGGAGAAGCAATGCCCTTCATTGAGGAAATACTATCTTCCATCAATTCCATCATTTGTGATCTACAACCACAGCAGGTGTGTATATTTTTTCATCTTGTGTAACTTGACATACAGTATTTCATTGACCTTGTTTCAGTTCTTGTTCAGTTCTTGTCGTTACCCTTCCTGTTGTGCAGGCAACAATTCATTACATTAATATGGGAAAGACAGGATTTGCTGATAATGCCAGACCTTGCACTGGGAGATAATGACCACTGATATAATGGATTAAGAATGGTAATGGACAAGACTACTTGCATGAAGTCCTGTAGGAAAGCAAACTGGAATGGAACACACACGTACATCATATACATACATATATATATATTTGTATGTATGTATATTCCTACACCTATACATAAACTGTGATCATTGTTGCATACATGCATATATATACATTGCATGTATAAAAATTCTAAATATTATAATTGCATATAGCACAAATCTTGCTTGCAAATATATATATGGATATCACTTGTTTTTAAAAATTAGTAGTTCCTAGCATGGTGGCCTAATGCATGCTAGGTCTGCATCTTTTTACTAAGGCCTTGAAAGAACGCTAATGGACTCTGGAATTTTTTCCAAATATGGCAAATGATTGATGAGGTATCATGTGTCAACTGATGTCACCTAGAATGGGTGGGGCTTTTGAAAAATATGGGACACCTTGAAATCATCTCCAGGTGATAAGAGTATATGGGCCAATCACCCTCGAGGGATTCCATTCACCTGGACTGTATGGCTCCTGTGGACCCCACGCGTGCGAGGCCGTAGCTCTATCGACATGACTATGAGCAGTATTAAAAAGGAAAGTTTTACCCTCAAGGGATTGGAGCAGTGAGGGTTGAAGGCATTTGCTCTTTATTGATGTTTACATGCTATAAAATGTAAATAATTTTATTTTTGCAGGTTCACACTTTCTATGAAGCAGTTGGATATATGATCAGTGCTCAGACTGACCAAGTTGTCCAAGAACACCTCATTGAAAAATACATGACACTACCCAATCAAGTCTGGGATGAGATCATCAACCAAGCATCAAGGGTAAGCTCTCATTCTTGGTGCTGAATCTAATTGTAGAGAACACAAGAATACAGGTTACTTTAAAAGGCATATTCGCCCCATGCAAGGCAGATCCTAACATTATTTATATTCACCACACCCTCTCATGTAATATTTAGCCTGATGTAAACATTCTTGCTGCCTCATGTATTGTTACCCCTCAACATACTACATAAATATACAATATTATTTCCTACTTTAAGCTCATAAAAAAGTTATCATGTTTGAAATTCTGTTCTAAATCTTTTGGCTCTGGTAGTTGTTTGCCCGCATACTTTTCTTTTGCCTTGTGAAATGCAATCACCCCTGATCTTGTTTTAAAGATATTCCAGTCTTGTTTTAAATAGAACCAACATGTGATCAAACAAATCTTCAGGCAGTTCACTCATTCCAGTCATTTCTCTCATTTTTCTTTCCTGTGTCCTTAACCCCTTAACTGCTCAGCTTCCAAATATGACATCCCCCAGTGCGCAGGAAATAAATTCTCATAAAAAAATCTTTGTTTTTTTAAAGTGTTAAATCATCATTTAACATGTTTATTTAAAGTGTTTAAATCATCTTTTATCTGTGTCTGGCATTAATATAGCACATTAAATAAACATCCTTTCTTTAAGGACTGTTGCCACTTCAACCTATTTCTGCTCATGATTTATTCTCACATTTCATACAATCATCTGAACCTACTTTTACATATAAATCATAGCAAAATTGTCTGATTTGTAATGATGCAAAATGTTGACCTTCATATGTTTTTTTCAGAATGTTGACATTTTGAAAGACCCTGATGTTGTAAAGCAGCTAGCAAATATTTTAAAGACCAATGTTAGAGCATGCAAAGCATTAGGACATCCCTTCGTTTCTCAGGTATGTATTTTTTGTCTGGTGTAACATATTTGTTTCAAGCTAATATTTTATCTTGTATTATATTTTGTGTGTGTGTGTATATCTGAATGCCACTAATGTTTATGTATTTTCAGCTTGGGCGCATTTATCTTGACATGCTGAACGTATACAAGGTTATGAGTGAAAATATTAGTGCAGCTATTGCCCTTAATGGTGAGGGAGTGACCAAGCAACCTCTCATCAAATCTATGCGTGTAGTTAAGAAAGAGACACTCAAACTTATCTCGGGTTGGGTATCACGATCAGATGATTATACATTAGTTTTGGATAACTTCATTCCACCCCTACTGGAAGCAGTTTTAATGGATTATCAGGTATGCAATGTTATCATTTTGTGTAACAATTCTTATTTAATAAAATTTGCCTTCGTCAAACATTGGAACTGTAATGTACATTTTCTTATTGCCAATTTACAGGCCATTCAAGTTGATAAATCTATAAGCATTAAAGTAAATTTAAAGATTTTGTGGTGATTTTTTTTTAAACCCCTTATAGCTTGCAGATATACTAAATAGAAATTTTATGTAGTTCTTAAATCTCAACATTTATTAGTATTGTTCTATTTTAATTTTCCACTTTCAATAAGGGAACAATTAGCCAAGATAAATGAAGGTAGTCTATATACTAAATAAGGTATTAAAATAATCAATTGTCCATTAATTGCACTATAGATTATCTCGGATAAACTAGCACCTCACAACACTCAAGAGGTTGACTTCTATTATGTCATCCTAATATATATATATATATATATATATATATATATATATATATATATATATATATATATACACACATATATATACATATATATACATATATATACATATATATACATATATATACATATATATACACATATATACACATATATACACATATATACACATATATATACATATATATATATATATACATATATATACATATATATATATATATATATATATATATATATATATATATATATATATATATATATATATATATGTCGTACCTAGTAGCCAGAACGCACTTTTTGGCCTACTATACATGGCCCGATTTGCCTAATAAGCCAAGTTTTCATGAATTAATTGTTTTTCGACTACCTAACCTACCTAACCTAACCTAACCTAACTTTTTCGGCTACCTAACCTAACCTAACCTATAAAGATAGGTTAGGTTAGGTTAGGTAGGGTTGGTTAGGTTTGGTCATATATCTACGTAAATTTAAACTCCAATAAAAAAAAATTGACAACATACATAATGAAATGGGTAGATTTATCATTTCATAAGAAAAAAATTAGAGAAAATAACTTAATTCAGGAAAACTTGGCTTATTAGGCAAATCGGGCCCTGCATAGTAGGCTGATAAGTGCGTTCTGGCTACTAGGTACGACATATATATATATATATATATATATAATATATATATATATATAGATCTATCTATCTATCTATCTATCTCTGCCAGCATATTACCCTGCATTCTTCTCAGTAAATCTGGTCATGTTCTCATTAGAATCTTTTTCATCACTTCATTCATCAAACTTTAAAATTATTCTCAACCTACTAATAAGTTTATTTGACTTGTACATTTTCTTCTAAATATTTGTGATTATCAGGTACATTTATGTTGCCTTTTCATTTGGTTCTTGTTCAACTGTGCATTTACAGTGTCAGTACACACCTAATGAATGTTAATGGTTGTTTCAGCGAACTGGTGTTCCCTCGGCACGCGAACCTGAAGTTTTATCAACTATGGCTACCATTGTAAATAAACTAGAGTCGCACATCACCCAACAAGTCCCAAAAATATTTGATGCAGTTTTTGAATGTACTTTATCAATGATCAACAAAGATTTTGAAGAGTTTCCGGAGCACAGAACAAATTTCTTCCTTCTTTTACAGGTAAGCTTTATAAACGGGAGGTGGCAAACCTAACCAAATAAATCTCTTGTATCCTAAATAAAGTAAAGATGGTAAAAATGCACTGTTTATTATTGCAAGAATTTGTATATTAAGAGAAAGCTTGTGTGTCATTGTTCGTTATTAGTGTACTTTTGTTATGGGATGTCACAAAAACTAAATATGGGTGATGCAATCCTCTTTCTACTGTTACCTTTTTTTTATTTTTATAATCACATCCATGCCATTTTTAAATTCTGTAAGTCTGCAGTGTAGGAAATATTGAATGCTACAAATTTTTGTAATAAGTTTTGGAGTTAACTAACAGTGCAATTCTAAATTTGATGTGTGAAGTATTTCAGATGAACATACAGATTTCTAGTAATAGTATTTTTAGTCATAATACCTAAAGAAATCTTTTTTTTCTTTTCAGGCTGTTAATACACACTGCTTCACAGCACTTCTCAATATTCCTCCAGCTCAGTTCAAACTTGTGCTAGACTCTATAATATGGGCTTTCAAGCACACCATGCGTAATGTTGCAGATACTGGATTGCAAATCCTTTACCAGTTACTACAGAACATCTCAGCGCATGGAAGTGCTGCTAGCAGCTTTTATCAGACGTATTACACTGACATTCTGCAGCATATTTTCTCTGTTGTTACAGACTCTTCACACACTGCTGGTAAGTTGTGCTGATTTTATTAGTTACCTTAATAATACTGTATATTAAATAACAGTTGTGCAAGATTTTGCACCTGTCCTCTCCTGCCTCATTCCCCGTAACAATCCTTATTGGGATCTACATTGATTTTTGCCCCACTACCTACCAAATAAACCCACTCACACCCATTTCACCAACACACCCATGGTAGTGGCTTTTCTTACTACATCTACACTGGAATTTGAAGAAATAAGTGAGAAAACCCACAGGACTAGACATTAGTAATAGTAATGGGAGAACAAAGCAACAGTTATACTGGTCATGTATAACTTGCTACTAAACAGGCCAAGACTCTGAGACGACCATGATGAAAGCTGTGAACCTGACTAGACTGCTCATTGTTCAAAATTATTTTTATGTAACCACCACATCTTTCAATATCTCTAATGCATCGTGCTCATGTTGGAAGATCTTACCTTTCAAGAACACAATAAAGTAGCCGTCACACCCGCAAGAAAAATGACAGGTTGGATAACGAGCTTTTCAAACTAGAGATGCTATACAAATGATACTCATCAAGATGCTAGTGCTCTCTTAGAGTGGAATACTGTTGCACAATGACAGCCCATTTCAAAGCTGGAGAAATTGTTGACCTGAAGAGCATGCAGAGATCCTTTTACTGCTAGAATCCACTCGGTAAAACATCTAAACTATTGGGACCAACTAAAGAGCCTAAATCTGTGTTCCCTTGAGCGCAGGCGGGTAAGATACATAATGATTTACACATGGAAAATAGTAGAGGGGCTGGTTCCAAACCTGCACACAGAAATAACATCACATGAGACCAGAAGGCATGGCAGGATGTGCAGAATACCCTAGTATAAGAGCAGAGATGCAATAAGTATTATGAGAGTGAAGTCTGTCAACATCAGAGGCCCCGTGACTGTTAAACACGCTTCCACTACATATAAGGGGCATAACTGGCCGACCCCTCACAGTGTTAAAGAGAGAACTTAATAAGCACCTCTAAAGGATACCAGGCTGTGATTCATACGTCAGGCTGCTTGTAGCTGCGTCCAACAGCCTGGTTGACTAGTCCAACAACAAGGAGGCCTGGTCAACGACCAGGCTGCGGGGACGCTAAGCCCCGAAAACACCTCAAGGTATGCAGTATGGCCAACTACTCAGTGGTCAACAACAAGGCAGATAGTTAAAACACAGATTCCAAGTGAATTCTGCCAAATTATTGGCTGTCTTAACTCGATTTGTTAGGCAGGGAATTACTCACCAACAAGCTTATGCCAGCATACTGTTTTTGCTGTTATTGCACTATATTCATACACATTATATATTAATATTTACATGTTTTGTTCAATATAACCGTGCAACTAAGCTAGTATGGTGTCCAAACAGCATAGCGGCTTCCATACACTGTATGACATGTCACCAGTCAGCATACAATGCCACCTCCCTCAACAAGAAGCTTCTGCCAGCATACTGTTTTTGCTATTATTACCCTATACACACACATTATATATAAGTATCTACATTTGTGTTCATAATGAACCACTAAGCTGGTATGGTGAGTCCCAACAATATAGCGGCTGCCACACACCAGCCAGCTGACGATGCCACCTCCCTCACCAAGATTCCTCATCCCACCATACTATGTACATTGCTTATTCTCACCACAGTGCTGCTGTTACCAGAATCCTAGTCACTAAATCCTGTAAATGAAAAATTTTCCACAAGTTTTATTTTGTAAAGGAACACGAGAAGTCATTTCAAGATTCTTCGATGGCCAAAACAATGGCAGTGTGCTGTGACTAGCACTGTGAACATCTTGACCAGCATTGTGTTCACTGATATCTGAACATTGTACACAGTCTTTATCACAGTCAGGCTCTTCTGTAATACTATCACCAATAAATAATATCAGTTACGTATATGTATTTTGACATTTTTAGGCATTGCTATGGTCACAGACTGAACAGCAGTACTGTTAGCTCATTCTGCATGCCTTGGTTGCTTACTCGGTACCGAGGCCTTCAAACCCGTCTGACACCTCCTTTTTTTTTTTTATGCCATTCATTTAATGGAACCTTGAGGAAGCTTATGTGAACCCCGCATAGCTGCGGGACTTTTAAATCTTACTCAGTACTTTAAAATGTATATATATATATAATGTGCGTCATGTAGGTAGGTAGACCAAAATCGTACACATATAATTAGTCCCCTTCAAGGGTTAAGGTAACTTTAAAGTTAAAGTATTCATAATACTTTGTAAGGAAAAGGCAGCTGAAGCAGGAAGCAAAGGCAATTTTTAGTGCACCATAAGCATACAGGAAGTTGGCCAAAAAATTAAATTTAGAAATCTAAACAAAGATTACAATTTTGGCAGCAAATGTTATACCATTACAGTATTAAAATATGCAGCAACTGCATGGAATTCATACATCAGAAGGCACAAAATTAACTTGGAAGATGTAGAGAGATTTGGGGCAAGTACCTGAATTTCAAGGGCTTGGCTACAAGGGTGCACTAAGGAAACTGTCTCCCAATCAATAGTATTGTAGACTAAATTTGAACAGTTGTGACCAGATTTACTTACACCTATATTTATTTTATAATGCACAGATTGTTTAACTAGCAACTAGAAGAGAATCAAAGAATATGATAGACCTTGTGGACAAGGTCAGCAGCCTCTTTAAAATGAGATAAAATAGTAAAAGGGGACTGCAAAAAAAAAAAGCAATAAATGTATTGAAGCACTCGTTACAGGTAGTTTGACAAGTGGAATGCAGTGAAAGATGCCATGGTGGAAACCACTTCAGTCCACAGGTCAAAGCAAATACAATGTAGAATCCAAATTTTAAGAGATTTAAAAAAAAAAAGCACTTTTTTCCACCACCCACTGTAACTTCTCTCTCCACTTTCTGAGCACATTACAGCATGTTCTTTTTATACCATCCTGTTCATATACTGATGTTTTCGAGTCTGGCGATTTGATAACTTTCTTAATGTCCTTCATGCTAAAAGTACAATTTTTTTTTTCTTTTTCAAATTAAAATGCAAATTTTCAATTTATTTTTTCAGGGTTAACAATGCATGCTTCCATATTGGCATACATGTTCACATTGGTTGAGCAAAATCGCATTACTATCAGTCTGGATGCTGCGAACCCCTCAGCACCTAGTCAAACCAATGTCACCTATGTGCAAGGCTTTGTGGCAAATCTTCTCAAGGCTGCTTTCCCTCATCTCTCAGAAAATCAAATAAAAATCACAGTGCAAGGCATGAACGACTTGAATCAAGATATTCCTGCTTTCAAGGAGCATCTTAGAGACTTCCTTGTTCAAATCAGAGTAAGTTTTTCAAATTTTGTAACATTTAACATTTAATTCTTTATAATTTTTAATATTTAATTCTTTTATATTTTGTAATGTTTAATTAATGTTAAGGTGAGACACACATGAATGGCCAATAATTCCAGCACCAAATATCATTAATACTGTATTCCTAAAGAAATTGCCATAAACACGTGAAAAGGTACAGGGGACAGTACCTTTGAGATGTCCGGCAGTATACTAAAGAGAGTAGCCCACCCACCATTCAGTCACCCAAGCTCGACCTACTTTAAGTATGTTTTGAACAGTGTATGTTGTATTACAAAGTGATTACTCATACTGTGTTATTGGAATGCAGGAGTTAACATTACTGAAAGATCTTTTACATAGTTGGTTATTCTGTATCATACAACTTTAGTTGTTAATTCTAGCTAATCTTTCAGTTGTGCTTTACCTGCTTCAAGGCATTTTAAAAAATGGTAACAGGTAAAGTGAACTTTTTGCAAAATTTGGCATAATTTTATTGCATTGTTTTAAATTTAATTTATTTAATTAATTTATTTAAATTTAATTAATTTCAGGAGGTAACAGGCGATGATGACAGTGATCTTTATCTGGAGGAGAGAGAGGCAGCCCTTAGACTTGCACAGGAGGAGAAGCGTCGCGTCCAGATGAGTGTACCTGGTATCTTAAATCCACACGAGATTCCTGAAGAAATGCAAGATTAGAGATAAGCTACCTCCCAGCTTAGAGATTCCATCAGATTTTTATGCCATGGAAAATTCTTGTGTCCATTGATTTTTGGTCCAATATTGTTTTTGCATCTCACTAAATGTTTGAGGGGTTTTAGAAACCCAGGAGTTCAATTAAAATTTTTAGCTTGAGACAGTTATGACAAGGGTAAAAATTCATTACATGAAATGAAACATTTGTAGTGATTGTAATGTTAGGCCACTTTATGGCCTCAAAATCTCATGGGATTTAAACCAAACCCAATAGAAACTTGGAAATTTGATGGCACATTTGTCAATTAATAATTGGAAAGACATTTGTGAACCTTTTAAAAGTTCAGGTTTACAAAGCTGTTATCCTGGTATATGGGAGAGTTGGTTGCTAACTCAAGTCATTATTATACCATTACAATTTTCTATATGCTAATAAATTTATATTTTGATTATAACATTTATTATTACCAGTTTTGGTATTAAAAGTGTCAAGAGTACAGAATATGATCAGTCATGGTGTACCGTCTTCATCAGTCTTAATTTTTTTTTATACTGTAGATTGATGGAGAAAAATTGCCATCTTGTTACCATAGCCAAAGCAAAAATGTTTGAACATTTTTTTTTATAAGTTGATTTTATTACAATTTTAGTATGTTGAGTTAATGTCAGATTGCTTTTTATGATCCAGTTTGTTTAAAAAAAATGAGTTGTTGCTGATGTAATTTTGGTATTGTATTATGATAATCTCATTCAATTATTGGTTATACATATTTGGATAACTTCTCCAAAGTAAAGTGCAGTTCTGTTAAAAAAACAATAATGCATTTATGAGTGGTTTACGAGCAAGGGCTAATGTCGGACTTGTCCAATGCATTTATTTGTTGCCGATTGATATGCTTACCATACTAATAAAGTATATTATCTGATCACTCAATTTTAAAGATTTTTTAGGTGAAAGTTCAATCTATACAATGTATTTTTCCTCGGTGAATGGTTTTGCTCAGAATTAGTGTTGAGAAATTGTTTTCCAGGTCATAGTTTTCTCCTAGTCTTTGCACCCCTCACCCTCTCTCTGCCTTTACCACTTTTTTCAAAGATCACTTTATTGTGACAGCAAAATGGCTGTTTAATAACTAGAACCGAGAAGTTTCATAAAATAAGGATGTTTAACATTAAATGCTTTTGCTTTGGTAGCTTAGATTGGTATTGTTTTGGGTATAGAAAAACATTCAAAGCTGGAAAGCCCAAAGGTTTTAAAGTCAGTCCTCATTTTTGTAGGGGATGAGCTAGATTTGAGAGAGTGTTGTCATTTTCTCAGTTTTCTAATTTCTTTTTCTTTACAAAATGTTTTCAGTTGTTGAAAATTTATATGCATGATTAGGAAGTGAAGTTGTAGAAATTTGTTATAAAAAAAAAGTGTGCCAGAGCTGTGAAACCATTTATACCTGCTGAAGCTTATTGCATCAGTAGGGACTTACGCTTTTGTGTTAAATATACCATAAGGTTTCTGACTTAATGTATGAATCGGTGTTTTGAATGAGGGAGCGGCATTCTTGTATTATTAAAAGTGGCTCCTTCTGTTTGACCAAAGTATATGTTTTGTGAATGCAAGGAATGCTTGTAGTTCAAAGGTTTTTGTTTTCTGGTAGTGTTATGTGAGCAAGCTAACAAAGATTAGAGTTTTGGCAAAATATTGTGATAAGGAACACAGGGATGAACATTGTTCAGTTTTGAAATTGAGCTTTTTCATAGTTATTAATACCTTTGATTTTTATTATTATATTTATTGGGAAGGGCATTTTAAGACTGACAAACAAGGTTGAAAGATCACCGAAACCATAAGACTTTAGTTTCAAATGTCAGTTTTATCTGTGATGATTTGTGCATGACAGCTAATGAAGATATCATTAACTGTCATGCTTCTGTTAAATGTCATTAACTTCTTTGAGGTTGTCTGCAAAAGTCTCTGAAGGTAATACATCGATTTCATAGCTCTTGTTTAAAGACCACTGGTAAGTATAGTTTCTCCCACAGGAAAGGAATTAAAGATGAAGTATATCTGCAATAATTCCATAAGTTTGTTAGATGCAGTCCTAAAAAAATCAAAATTATGACTTATTATACATTTAAATGTAATACAACAAAATGACCTTTAGCTAGAGTGCAGTATTCTATAAAACATTATCTTCATCTTAACAAGCTGCCAGTTTTGATGTGAATTAGATGGTAAAAAGAGAGTAAAGGTATTTGTAAGTGGAAGTAAACAGGAATTCAACAAAATTTTAAATTAAAAAAATCACACAAGGAAACTCAAGTTCTCCTTGAGTGCATATGAATATTTTCTTCCTCTTCCTCCTCTTTACTCATTTCTCCACCTTCCCCCACCCTTCTATTCACTTCTTCATTCCTTATAATTACTACTTCATTCCCTGCCTATGTCTTTAACTACTTCCTCCTACCCCTATCTAGTTTCTCTCACTACCCCCTCCTTGATTCTCCCCCCCCCCAACCCTCTGCCATTTTTCCCTCTTGTAAAGAAGGAAATTGTTCTTGCATTAATTTTTTTCCCCACCGTGTAAGAGTTGTCCTCAACATATCCTTCTTGTTATACGCGGATTCTGCTTTGTACTCAAAGGCTTCAGCGATCTATATTGACATTACCTTCATTAACAGACACACCATACTTCACAGTGTGTGTTCCAAATGTAAATGCCCATTATAGATACAGGTACTGTAAATCTGTAAGAGCTGGCAAATAATGAATGCTGTGTAGCATGTGCTTGAAATTTAAGCTCCCTGTGATTACTTTTGACTATGGGAGGCATGAGTTCAGGTTTTGGAATAACTTTTGGGGATATTGCGTAATTTTTTATTAATATACAAGTTGAGTTTTAGTTAATTGGTAAAAACAATATGAAAAACAGTTTATCTGATATTTAAGTTATTTTCTGGGATGAAATCAACATGGGAGGAGTCTGGAGATCTCGTGCATTGGGAGCTTAGTTGCATTTTATAATTATTCATATTTGACATGACACTATAATTTCTTTCAGTCTAGGTGGCTCTTGGTATAAATATCCTTGTTCATTATTTTTCTTGGAAACTCCCTCGCTTGTGAGGTTGTATGTGTGTAATTTATTTTGAACACTTCACTTTGTATTGAATGTAAGATAGTGTTGTATTATGCAGTCTGTCGTATTTCTTGATTTCTTATCTCTGCTGTTCTAAAGGGGCCGTGTTGGCATAGTCAGTCCCCACATGCTTATTGTAAGTGGACAAAACACAACTTGATTTTCCATCAGTGCATTATGCTTATGATTTTCATAGTGTTTCAAAATTTCACTTTAAATGAGGCTGCATATGTCTATATTTAGTGGTTTAGGAGAGGATTCCGAAGAAACAGGTATCATATAACTTAGATCATCGTGTAAAACACTGTTAACCGACATCTAGGTCATTTGCATTACCTCAGGTGTTCTTTTCAGTTTTCTCTTGATAATTCAATTGGAGTTTAATATATGGCCTTCAATCTTGTACTAGAAGATTTTGGGTTTACAATTAGTTGCCCCAGTTACTCAATATTACCAGATGTGTGTAAAATCCTCTGTATGACTTGCTGTAGAATTTTGTGGATTGGTATAAGACAAGCAACTAAAGGTTTTGCCCTCAAATTGAGAGCATCCTTTTGTAGTCGAAATTACAGTCAACCTCTGAGCAACTAATCTATTGGGTTGCAAGTGTCTGACCACCTCCACAGAAATGTCCCTTAGTGGTAGTGGATGTAGAATTTGCACGCGAGGATAGGTAATTACCTAAATAACCCCTCAAAAGTTGTCTGTTGAGATGACGTGATTATACCAACAGCAGTGTAGTATGTGTGGGCTGCTGGAGGACAGAAGTAACCCATGTGGGCACAAAACTCAAGTGAAGATGTGAATTATTGCAAACTTACCTCTACAACTCCCACAGGTTATAATGTACTTCCAACCCCTTAGTATGTTTGTTGTGTGTATCTTCAGTGCGTTAACATGAGTTGCACTATCTCTGTTTTAAGAGATGCAAAGCATAGTGTGACTGAACATTTTGATATTCTGCTATTTGTGCAAAACTTAGCAAAATAAGAAAATATTTTACAAGACATTAGTGTATTATTTATCCTAATTTTTTCTTGTAAGTGTATTTTATGCTTGCAACATTACTGCCTTGATCAATAAAATTATTTAAATTAAACATTATTTTAAGGATAAAGTTTGTGGAAATATGTTCCTTACTTCTAGTGGTGTGTCTGTCAAGCAGTGCTTGTAACCAGTTACTAGTGCTAGCAATATAATGTCATTTGTATAGCAGACAATAGTCTTATCAACCTATCTACTTGTTGGATCTGGGAATAAATGTCCTCCCTGTCCTGGGGAGTGGGTATATCAGTTTAGTCTAAGAGTTTTCATGTGTAGGACAACATTCCACTCTGAGGTGAGCAAAGTTAAAAAAAAAATCATTAAAGCTACATTTTACTTTCTTGGATTATATTACCTGAATAACCCTCTGATTTGTTAGTAATTATCTTTTTAAACTTCAAAAAAGACTTGTTGCCCCAAGCTAAGCTCGGTATTGGCTGTCAAAAACAGCTTGTAGATCAATTCAAGTAGCATTTTTTTTTTCTTCTCGGATAGTGCTAGGAAAAACAGGTTCCTGCTCTAAAAGGGAAAAATATTAAGTGCATGTATATTTCAGTTCGTCTAAAGGATTGCCATGATCCTGAATTCTTTATGTAATGTAAACCTCACAAAATCCTTTCTACTTTTACTATACTTTCCCTGCTACCCCTCTTGTGAACCCCCGTTTCTTGCTTTGTTTTACTATTGGGATTCCTTTATGACCTGGAAAAGGCGTATGATACCACCTGGCGTTACCGTATTCTGTCCCAACTCCATTCTTTTGGTCTTCATGGTAATTTCCCTCTTCCTCCAGAGCTTCTCTAGTCGTTCCTTTCGGGTGCGGCTTGGTACCACTCTTTCTGCTTCTTTTTGGTAATACGAAAGTGTTCTGAGCACTACTATTTTTTTTTTCTCTTCTTCCTGGTTGCCCTCAATGGTCTTTCCTCCCTTCCCTCGGACATTTTCTACGCTCTTTATGTTGACGATCTTACCCTCTGTTGTCAAGGTGATGACTCCTTTCCTCCAACGGCTGCTTCAACTTGCGATTGATGCTGGCTCTCGGGTCCTTTAATCCGGTTCATCCAGTGGTGGTCGAGATCCAGCATTGGCTGTTTCTTGTTCACAGTAAATTTAAGTCAGTTGAGTTTTGTTGGGTTCCCAGCCATATTGGTGTCTCTTTAAATGAGAGTGCGGATGCTGCCGCCAGGGAAGCTGTCCGCTCTTGTCCCATCTCTCGTAAAGGTATTCCTACTTTTACCCGGTTATCCATTCCTCCACCCTTACCCGTTGGCAGGCTTTTTGGTCGTCTGTTACTGGTAACAAACTGCGTACTCTTAAGAGTTGTGTGTCCTCGTGGCCGTCCTCCTACCACCATAACCGGCAATGGGAAACGGCTCTGTCGAGGTTGCGTATTGGCCATACTCGCTTAACTCATGGTCACTTGATGGAGAGCCGCCCTGTTCCTTTTTGTCCTAATTGCATTGTCCCTCTTACGGTCGTGCATATCCTTGTTGAATGTCGTGACTTCCGGGACGAGCGTGTCTTGTTTTCCAACCGTACCCCGCGGACTTTTGATATCGTTCGCCTTATGCGTTTCTGTTCTCGTATTGGCATCCTTGCGTGATATTTAGCGCCCTTTGATTATCCCGCACATTTGATGGTGGTACATAGCCTTCCCGGTTTGGTGCCTTCTTTTGATAATTACTTGCGATTGATGCCGTGTCGTCCTGGGCCACCAATCATCGCTTCTAGTTCTCTCTGGCTAAGACTTGTGCTATGACCTTTTCTCGGAAACAGGACATCCTTTGATCCCCTCTGCCGCTTTATGGTAATCCTCTCGTATAAGGATTCTGCTAAACTTCAGGGGTTAATCTTTGACACACTTCTCTTGGTCACCCTTTATCTCCTACCTCCGAGTTGAATGCTCTAAGGCCCTTAACTTACTTAAAAGTCTTGTCCATTACTTCCTGGGGAGCTGATAGGCACACGCTCCTCTCTTTACATTCCTCTCTTGTGTTGTCTAATCTTGATTATGGCTGTCTTGCTTACTCGTCTGCCTCTCCCTCCACTCTTCGTCGTCTTGATGCTCTTCACCATACAGGGCTCCGTCCTAACTCTGGTGCCTTTCGTTCTACCCCTACCCAGAGCTTGTATGTTGAGACCGACGTCCTGTCTACAGGATTGCCGGGATCGCTACTGTCTCTGCTACTTTGCGCGGTCCTTACAACACCCTCACTCTGGCTTATGTCGTACTTTGACCGTTACCCCTGCTGTGGGCCCTGCTCTCTTTCACCGCATTCCCCTTTCTATATGGTTGTCTCGCTTGTAAGGTTCTCTCTGTTCGTGTTGCCAATGTTTCTCCTCATGTCATTCCGTCCTTGCTCCCGTGGAGAGTCCCTCTTCCTAAGTTTTGTATAACCCTGACCTGCATGATTAAGGCTTTTACCCCTCCTACAGTTCTGAAATGCCTTTTTTCTGAGGTTGGAAGAAAACGTGCTCAGATTGGGGACTTGTTTATTTTATAATGGTAAATAATAAATTAATATATAATAAATTAATAAATTAATATATAATAAATTAATAAATTAATATATAATAAATTAATATATAATAAATTAATATATAATAAATTAATATATAATAAATTAATAAATAATAAATTAATTATTATATAATAATAAATAATAATAATAACAAATAGTATAATGATAAGCAATTATTTTTAATGAATCAAATAGCTAATTAGGATGAATGATAAATAATTATTGACTAGTGCATAACAATAAAGTATTAAGGAATAATTATAATGAATAATCCTTAATGATAAAGTAGAAATCAATTACAATTAATAACTACATCCATAGGTAGTAAATGAAAGTTGCATTAATTTAATTACACTAATTACAATTCATGGGAATATTTCTTAGCTATCTGCAGGCTTATCACTTTGGGGGTTCCGGCGGAGCACCCCCAAAGATACGGCAAATGCTTAGCATGCTAGAACAAGTGCCCCTTGAGCACGTCTGTGGGCCTTCCCTTTCAAAAATAAAACAGAGGATCCCGGGAGGAGGGTGGGCGTTTTGTAAGAGAGCAGCTGCTGGCTTGTCGGGAAGAGGGGCCACGCAGTCTGTGTCCGGGTTTATATAACCTCGGCTCGTTGCGCGCGCAGCTTGGGGCGGTTAAAGTCAGCTTCCAGACATACGTTCTCTTCCCTCAGAAAACCCACCGTTTTGGGGAAAAACAGTGTTCTTTTCTTGCTCACTTTTCTTCACACTCCCGCTCCATCTCCGTCTTCACAGATGGGTCCAAGTCTGCTGACTGTGTAGGCTACTCCGTTGTTTCCTGACTGCACTTATGTGACTCCAACCTCCAGAGACTAGCGTCTTCACGGCTGAACTTTATGCAATTTTGTTTGCTCTTCGTCAACTGCTTTCTCGCCGTAATTCTTCCTTTGTTGTTGTAGTTGACTCTCGCTGTGCCCTCATGGCTCTGAAGTCTTTTAATCCTGTCCATCCTGTGGTTGTCGGAATTCAATTTTGGCTGTTTCTTATCTCTAGCAGATTTAAGACAGTCGAGTTTTGCTGGGTTCCCAACCGTTGTTGTCGTTGTTTTAGATTTAGCTACTCGGAACGAAATGTCCATGTAGCACGAGCTATGGTGAGCCCGTAATTGAGTTCGGTTATTCGCGATAACCTTGTTACTCTGATATTTGAATCAAAGTTTTAAATGGAGGTGGGGTTTCCTCCTTTTTCCATGTTTCTTTTTCGGTTCTGTTTTAGTCGTGTTTTAATAACCTTATCTTGGTGGCGGATGTAGGTGCAGAATGTTCAATAGTGAGTCCCATTCTTTAACTGCTTTTCTAATCATTGTAGTGGCTGTGGAATGTGCATCTAGTGCAGCTGCTGTTGCTGGATTAATGTTGAGTTTGATGCGTAGGGCTTCAGTAGCTTCACATTCCAGTAAGTAGTGCAATAGTGGCGCCTCTGCTTCTGTTCCACAGATATGACACTCTTCAACTATTGGGTTTATTACCTCCCAGCAGCACATGTAATCAAGTCTAAGTCTGTGTATGGCTACTGTAATGTCTCTGGATATCTTTTTGTCAAGCTTGAAAGAGTAGTACCCAGTGGCTTGTTCGTATCATATCGCAGTGGATCTTCCTTCAGCGACTTTGGCTCTGTGGCGACTTTTGATAGTTGGGAATATTTTCTTCTTGATTTGCTCCTTAATCTGTGAAAAACTGGAGGTATTTGAACCTGAACAACAGGTAGAGCAGTGGCAGTTTTTGCTGATGATTGATAAAGATTAAGCCACCCAAAAAGTGGCACGGGCATGAATAGCCTGTAAGTGGTGTCCCTTTTGATCCATTACCAGTATCAAGAGCTGATATGACCCGCCAATCGTACCTGGTACCTAATCACTGCAGGGTGAACAGAGGCATACAATTCAGGATCAGTGTTGACAGATTGGGCTAACAGTAGCGTATTGGGGCTCTTTGGGGAGCTCATCGTTCCTAATTTTTTTAGTTTCGCTACTTGCGATTTTTTAGCTAATTTAAAAATGAGTTGGGCTACTAGTGTTAAGAAAGTCAATAGTTGATTACTTGTACATTTTTTTTTTTTTTTTTTTTTTTTTTTTTGAGATGTATACAAGAGTTGTTACATTCTTGTACAGCCACTAGTACGCGTAGCGTTTCGGGCAGGTCCCTGGAATACGATTCCCGCCGCGAAGAATCGTTTTTTCATCCAAGTACACATTTTACTGTTGCGTTAAACAGAGGCTACAGTTAAGGAATTGCGCCCAGTAAATCCTCCCCGGCCAGGATACGAACCCATGACATAGCGCTCGCGGAACGCCAGGCATTTGTACATTTATAATGTAATGCGTGTAAAGCACAGCCGGCGTTCAACTGCCTGGTTGACCAGACCATCAACCGCTGGTCAGAGACCGGACAACCTGGGGACGTTCATCCTCGGAACCATGGAAAGAAAAAGGAACCTGCAAAGAAAAGGCAAGGCAAATTAATCCTCCCTTGGGGCGACAGACTTCCCAACCTTAATTGTCATTAGTACTTCATCCCGGGCAATGTCTTTGCAAGCAACCCAGCCTCCTGAAGTGATATCATGTAACTGTTTGGTGGAAAATACCAATATGTAGTGATGGACCATCAGTAAACCATGTATAGATGAGTATACAGATATTGCGTGTGAAGAACATTTGTGGGTTTTTGTTCGATATTATAAAGCTAAACACAGTAGGATTTTACCTCAGTTTATGGGACTAGTTTCAGTTACAAGCACTACCTCTGAAGCCTTGTATCAATACCTCAAATTTTTTTGGGGTCATATTGGAGTTGATCTGAAGTAGCGTCTTGCACAGACAGGGCATCAACTCTGTGTGTACAAGACGTGTGTGCCCTTAGGAAATCAGGATTAGCCCAGAGTCAATCCGCCCCGGCCAGGATACGAAGGAGTGTGATCGTTTCGGACACGAAACGATTCGATGAAGCTTTTAGTTTTCTATTTTTTTTTTTTTTTTTGAGATATATACAAGAGTTGTTACATTCTTGTATAGCCACTAGTACGCGTAGCGTTTCGGGCAAGTCCTTAATCCTATGGTCCCTGGAATACGATCCCCTGCCGCGAAGAATCGTTTTTTCATCCAAGTACACATTTTACTGTTGCGTTAAACAGAGGCTACAGTTAAGGAATTGCGCCCAGTAAATCCTCCCCGGCCAGGATACGAACCCATGACAGTGCTCGCGGAACGCCAGGCGAGTGTCTTACCACTACACCACGGAGACTGTAATATCTAAATAAATATAATATATTAAAATCGTATATATTGTTATGCCAGGCTGTATTAGCTTAGGCTAGGATGTATTGGGCTCAGTTGGGTTTGGTTAGGTAGGTTGGTTTGGGTTAAGTTAGGTTGGGTTGAGCTAGGTTAGGTTAAGTATGTAAGTAGGTTTAAAAATCCGCTAGCGAATCATCTTGTGTACAGTGTGACCTGTGTCCCATCTAATCTCGACCAGAATCTCCCGCGAAGATAGGGGAAGGTGTGTTACCACTGAGCCATTATAGACCTTTATTAACCTGTGTATAATAGTGGCTTCATATATAATTACTGTACTTTCGAAATAACCATGGTAATATGTTTTCCTTGTATACTCTATGAATAAAATATTAACATACTATATTATTAAACACTAAAACAATACAAATTCCCCTTGAATGCGAACTATAGAAAACGTGAAGATGTATCGGGAAGAGAAGCGATCATGCATTACTAACTCGCTCAGTCGTCACAGCCAAGTACAGTAATCACGAGTGATATTTTGTCTGTCTCTAAGACAGTTCTCCAAACCTGCAACACCTTATTCTACAACACCACTCTTGAAGTCATTGGGAGGAGGAAACCCTCATACATGGATTTCTGGAGGGAATAAAAACAGTGAGGAAGGATAAAGTGTTTTTAAGATATTAGAGAGCTTGCAGTCCCAGTGGCGTAGTGGTAAAGCACTCGCCTGGGTTCGTATCCTGGCTAGGGAGGATTGACTGGGTGCCAATCCTTAACTGTAGTCTCTGTTCACCCAGCATTGAAAGAGTACCTGATTGTTAAACGATTTGGCGGGTCGTATTCCAGGGAATATAGGATTAAGGACTTGCCCGAAACGCTGTTTGTGCTGGTGGCTGTTCAAGAATGTAAAAAGTCTTGTATATATAAGTGAATAAATAAAATTTTAGATATACTGTATATTTAGAGATATGAATATAATTAGTATGTCAATAAAATTATAAGCAGGAAGAAGTACAGTACTTCAATCTACTACAATTGGGTAATATATACAGCATGTTATGGTTTCCAGAGTTGGGAAAAAGTTATGTGTTAGACATCTTGAGGTTGTCCTGGGCCACTGGTCCCCAACCGTCTCTTTTACCACCAAGGACTCCCATGAATTTAAATACATTATCCCACAAACCACTGATTTTTTAAAGGTCTGTTTACTTGCCAAACCGATTTTATTAATAACAAACTCGTTTTTCCAATTTCATCTCTCAGCTGAAAGCAGTGTGAGTAACTGAGTATGCAATTAAATAAATGGAAGTATTAAAAACTTAGCCGTTAATGAGATGGTTGATGCAGCTTTATTGACACTGTGTTCTGAATTTCAGGTTTAGTTTTGGACAGTTTTAGGCATAGATCAGGTTCCACATTTGTTCTGTTTCTGTATTTTGATTTTATATAAAACGGAAGGGAATAAATGGAAGTATTAAAAACTTAGCCGTTAATGAGATGGTTGATGCAGCTTTATTGACACTGTGTTCTGAATTTCAGGTTTAGTTTTGGACAGTTTTAGGCATAGATCAGGTTCCACATTTGTTCTGTTTCTGTATTTTGATTTTATATAAAACTGCTGGGAGAAAGCCTGCTCCCTGAAATATCTGTGCTTTGGATGCCAGTTCTGGGTACTCACTTTTCACATAAAGCAAAAAATCTGATGAATTGTACTAAGGGAAACTTGACCGCGATGAATTGTCACACAAAAGTTCAGTAAAACTAGATTCTTCATTTGCAGTTAAATGTTACCTTCTTTACATATGTAAAATTATGAATTATATCTTACAGTTTTAGTGCTAATATGAATTATATACAGAGCATTTTTGGGCATAATGTGAGAAAAGAAATTGGTGAACAATATTGTATAAAAGTTTAATGTAGTTAAAAGTTGGGGTAGCTCTTAAAAATAAATGGGATCAGAAACATTTATGAATTAAAGAAGAGAAATACAGTAGAAAAAAATAGAATTGTTTGTGATGATTGGACCTCTATATCTAATAGGTGAATAGAGGCATCAGATGTAAAGGATCATCATCAGGTGTAGAGGCATCATATGTCTCGACCTGCCCAGTAATCCAATTCAGACACTTTTGGTTGTGAGATGACTTAATGCATTTTTTGAACTAAGCATTTTAAACAATACCCAAAAAAGATGTTTGATATGACAGTGGAAAATATATAAATAATCTTGGCAATAATGATTAATGTACAGTATATATCTAGTTTTCATTAAGCCATGCATGTGTATATATATATCGATACTTTATAAGTTTTACAGTACTATATACGATTATGAAATGAATATCAATGTAAACTATCACTATTATATTCAGTTTTATACAAATATTCAATGATGTCTGCAGGTTTGTTTGAACAAGAACTAATGGATCCTCGTGTGACAGTTAACTTTACGTGTCAGCGGTGCATGCATCCCATTCACTTGGATGCTGGATTCTCACATCTCAATGAACACACACTTGCTGAACTTGCTTGTAAGTACAGAAATGGTTTTCTTCCAGTCTACATGTTGGTTATCTTTATCTATTTTAGGTGGTGATGGAGATTGTGTATTAAACACAAAGCTTTATACCCAGTTTTGATGTAGAATTTTGGTAAAGGAGTTGTTTTCCAAGATTTGGTTTTCCATGGTCAGGGACAAGAAACCTGTTAGGCGTATCAAGATAACTTTGGCCTTTACTGTCCCTATTTAGAGGTTATCTAGAGATGATTTCAGGTCTTTAGTGTCCCCACGGCCCGGTCCTCGACCAGGCCTCCACCCCCAGGAAGCTGCCCGTGACAGCTGACTAACTCCCAAGTACCTATTTACTGCTAGGTAATAGGGGCATCAGGGTGAAAGAAACTCTGCCCATTGTTTCTCGCCGGCACCCGGGATCGAACCCGGGACCACAGGATCACGCGTCCAGTGTCCTGTCCGCTCAGCCACCGGCTCCCTTCCCAGAATACAATCCACATTAGTGACTTAACTTCCAGATACCTATTTACTGCTAGGTGAACAGAGGCATTGGGTGTAAGGAAACATGACCAAACATCTCGTCCTGCTCAGTTATAGAATCTGAAACAATTTGGTTGTGAGCCGAGTGTGCTGCCCCTAGGACACATATCTAGTTCTATTCCTTGCTGATAGGGTCACATGCATACTTAGGAAATAAAAATGAAAATTATGACAAAGTATATGTTGTTGATTTAGGGACTGCAATGGCAGTGGTGCTGTATATGCCCCAGTGTTCCCTTGAAGGATAAAGTATAAACCCTTAAAGCTATAATAACATTGCCTGTCAGCGGAAATTAAAGCTCTTGCAGCGAATAAGCACACTGATAGGCAGATGTTAAGGGAGCCTTAGGAGTCCCTCAGGAAGGCAAGCACTGACTCCCCACCCCACAGAAAACATTGAGTAGCCAAACTAAGTCAAGGCAAAATCATGGCCCCTCCTAAACTCGTATCCAAATGGGCAGAAGCATCTCCCAGTGACCTGCGGTAGAGTAGGAGACAGCCAACCACCATACCCTGAGAGCGAAAACGATTCTGATGTGATCAGAAGTTTTGCCTTTAGTGGCTTGTGCAGACTTATTTCAGTTCCTCCTGTGGAGTTCGGACCTCGTTTCATTGATGGACTCGGCCTCTTTCGAGTATGGGTCTGTCTTGTCATATTGGCTACATTGTGAGATGCAGAATTCATCCTGGCTCGCTGACAATCCTCTTTCTGGATGGACTGGCCCCCCCCCCCCCAGTGGATCCCTGAAGTTATTTTTGTTGGTTCATACTATAAAGTCACATCAGTTGCAAAAGGTTCCTAGTAGGCCTGTTTGGGCTGCTGGAGACCTGAACCAGAACCTGGCTTCCTGTCACAGAGGTGCAGGGAGCGGGTGATAATCCGCCACCCCACCAGAAAATGCCTCCAGAAAATCAGCACAGTTTTAATGACAACTAGAGGGTTCACAGTAAATGATGCCTTGGAACTACAATAAAGAACTCTGCAAATGATTCACACAGAACAAGGGATTCACTGAAATGAGCTCAAAACTTGTTAGTTCCAATTACAGTACCACCACCAAGCAGCCTGGCCCAGGCTCGCACCCAGTTCTGTTACTGATAATGGTGTCTTTGTTCTGCACCATATTGGAATCTGACCCAGTTGTCAGTTGAGTTAATCCCATGTACATATAGAATTCCAATAGTGGAACCATGTTGGAAAAGATGAGTGCCCAAAAGAAAATTGTTGAAAACATCTTGATAGGGTAATAAACACAAATTATTTATGTGTAAGAAGAAGGGCAGAAATATAACCTATATGAAGAACCTCTACCAGAAAAATATTTTAGGCAAAACTGAAGATATACAGGTATGTAGTTTTATAAAAGTAGCTTTCTTGGGGAACCCCTCTGGCTCCCTGAAATTATTTGGGCCAATATGCAATCATTAGACTTGGGCATTAGGCAAAGGAGTTCAGCCTACTGGAGACCATGAGCCAGAACTTGGCTCCCTCAGAGAGGCACAGGCAGCAATGGCCCTGGAAACCCCCCTTGTTGTTGGGGGTTTTCCTTATCTGCCATCGACCTGGGTTAGGCGCCCAGTGCATAACAAAACAGACCTCACACAGTAAGAAAATCACAACCAAAAGCCGAACAGAGAGGCAGAATTCCTTCAATTCCCAAGGAAGCAAGCAAACAAGTAAACGTCATACCACGCTGCCACGCCTCTCTTTCTTGCAGCCGCACCTTCCCCCCCCTTCCTAGGAGAGGGGATATCCAGACCCACCTCACCGGCTACTTAACCTCAGTTCATTGGCTAATGCAATCCAGGATGGTCGTCAAATCTGGCCTCTGTTTCCTGGCAGTATTTTTACCTTTGTGATGTCCTCTGCTGTTTGTGGTGTGGAGGCCATGTGTACCTGAAGTGTACCGGGGCTGCATGCACTTAGGGCAGCCTTCCCTAAGTGCCCTGTGAATACTACCCTTGCGTGTCAGGGTTGTCTTCCCTGGTGCATTTGGGACTCCATTTCCGTAGGGGTTTTTGCTACTTGACATCTACCCCGCGCTTGGGGCCAGCTGGGGTTTCGTGGCCCTTGTTTGGCCATGGGTAGGGAATGGTTTTGTTGCTGGTTGGGGCATCAAGGTGTTGTTTTGGTTGCCTGATGGGAGTCTGCTTGGTGTGACTATAGGACGACTTATATACTCTGGTGGCCCTCCGCTAGGCTCTCGTTATTGTACACTTCGTAGGGGTTTCAGTGTTTTGATCTCCCCCTTGTTAGCTTTGGGTCTAACTGGTTAGATCTGTCGGGGCTCGGTGGACCTATGGATGCATCTGGTTGTGGCTCTTCGCCATTATTTGCACGCCTTGGCCTCGGTCGCCGGGGACATGATCTATGGGATGACTTTTGCTTGTTTGCTTGTTTCTCTAAATAGGGGAAGTTCTGCCTCTGTTCAGTCTTTGGTTGCAATTTTCTTACCATGTGGGGTCTGTTTTGTTATGCCTACCTTTCTTGGTGCTAACCCCGGTCGATGGCAGACATAGAATGACCCCAAATACATGGGGGTTTCCATAGGCCATTGCTCCCTTTGCTTCTTTGAGGGGGGTCAGGTTCTGGCTCGTGGTCCCCAGTAGGCTGAACTTCAATTGACTGATGCCCCAGACTAATTTAACACATATCAGCCTGATAGCTCCAGGCAGCCTCCTGGGCTCATCCAGAAAATGGCGTTTTATTACATTCAACGCTGTTTTTTTATCAAATTACTTGTGTGCTCGCTTTGGGAGCACAAAGCCCTGCTCACTAGCCAATCAATTGTGTAATGCATATATATTTATACTAATTAATTTTAGAGTTTTGTGTCAGAAGCAAGATGGAAATATAGACATTAATGTGACTACATTTTTAGGAATATATGTATCTTAAGTGGAAGCTAAGATATGATTAAATAAAGAGTACCTAATAATTGGCAGTATTCAGACCCATCTTGATATTTTATCACCTATTCTATGTTTTGAGGTACTGGTATGCATATTGGTGATACCTTACTCAGTCACCTTCATGCAGTTAAAACATACCTAGCATTTTAAATGAATTTGTATATCTATATTCTTCTTTTTCACCTAGTGCCTATTTATCCTGGAGAAGAGGTAGAATTTGATCCATCAGACGTAGACAAATTGGTACCTCCACTGCAGCTGACTGACTCCGGCCATCACCCTCATGGCTTTACCTTGGTTGGAGAATCTGGTGACACTGAAAAGACACAGCCTCTTAAGGTACAATTCTAAAATCTCCTGGGTAGTAGATGTTTACTATCAAAATGGTTGGAAATCATTTATATGTAGAATATGTATACTGTGAGAAAATGCATCATAATATGCTGATTTTAGATGTACAGGTATATGAATTTAAAATATAAGTATTGTTGAATTTTAATACAGTACTTATAATACAACAACCCATTAAAATAGATCTTTCTGTACAGTATTATATAATGTGCTCAGTCTTGTAAAAGCATAGTACAGTACAGTAGTTCTTTACATTTGCATACTTGGGGTTTATATTTGCTCCGTTGTTTTCATTTATTCCACACGGAACTGTTGATACACTTTCAGGTAGCTACAGGCCTTTTTGACCTGGTAAGTTCCAACAGCGACATCGATCATCCTCTCTGTGAAGAATGTACGGACGCTCTCTTGGATTTAATGGACACAACATTGTCCAGAACTCAAAAGCAGGCACTGATGTCCCAGCAGCTACAAGCATCATTGGCTGACATGCCAAACATTGATGTTACTGCTCTTGAAAATGAATTGAAAAATGTTAGTGAAATGTTGTTGCTTTATTTTAACATTACAAAGTACTGTAGAATAGTCTTAGTATTTTTCAGTTAGCTTTTAGAATCTGAACGAACGAAACAAAAAGTCTGAACTCCTACACCCTGTACTTCTCATGCTTCCTGTATACCTTATAGCATCCTGCACTCATTACAATGCTTCTCATAACACAGTGATCAAATCATTTCTAGTTTTCTTCCAATATTAACCAACGAAGACATTTTATTTCGGGCATTTTCGTTTTTCCAGCTCCAACTTGAAGAGGAACGGCTTATCAGGGAGTTAGCAGAAGTAGAAGCTGAGCAGGATTTGGCTCAGAAAGTGTTGGGGAATCACGAGGAAGAAAAGGCACGATTGGAGGATGAGGAGGAGCGTTACTGGAGAGAGTATTGTACTCATAAGTCACAACTTACTGCTATGGAAGATGAGAATAGAAGGTAAAATTAATGAAATTGGTTGGTATTTGAATGATTAAATTTAAATATTGAAAGTAGGAGGTAAGGCAGCCCGAGTTATGTTGTGCTGTACAACAACTAGTTGATCCGAAGATCAGTTTGACACGGAGTTTTAGCTTTTGCAAAAACAGTAATTCTGTCACGAAACATGCAGGTTATCTGCTTTTATCTGTTCTGGGTGTCATGTTTACCTGTAAATGACACCCGTAAATATGATGTAGAGGAGTAGAAGATGTATTTTATCTGGATTTGTATCCTTTCTTATGTATTAATTTTGTTTATCAGAGATTTTGTACATTAACCATTACTTCCTCCTTTTGCAATATTCTAGCAGTGGTTTCTCTTCTACTATTTTTGCTTTGTCATAACTTAAAAGTATTTAACTTCAATGACCAAGGTAGTTTGTAGTGGAAAAGGATATGTAAACCAAAGCTTTACACTGCCACAGCCTTTATAGATCTGTAGAAATTATATAAAAAGTGAACAGAGGAGGATTGCATAGAGTTGAGCAAGTACGTGTATTGAGCATAATGAATGATTTATACACAGCAATTGTAGTAGGAGGCAAGAGTATGATTTACCCACCCCGGGTATCTCTAAGAAAATCCATAGTGTGCAAGCACCTTCCACATGATTTAATAAATCAAAATATGGCACCCAGTGGAGCAGAATTTGAGAGAGATTTGAGAGTAATGTACATGACTGGTGAGGGAGTAAAACAGTTACTGTACTTGGTTACTTCCTTGGGCAATTACCGTATTTGCCAGCATATAAGGCGCACTTTTTTTATTTTTAAATGTACTGTATCAAAAAAGTGCCCTGCATCTAATGCAGCCGTATTACAGATGGGAGACCGAGGGGCATAGGCTAGGGAGCCGGACGAGCATGCTGGGTAAGTTCGCTAGGCACAAAAATTGTTGCTAATGCTGTAATAAAATATTGAATGCAAGCCAAGTTATCACAGTCTGTTATCACAAACTTATGATATGTCGGCAGTTATGAAGGAAGCTCACATTATCTTACCCGGTATACATGACCCACACCTGATATGTCATACATTATTTGATGACTGTTACCTTTGACATTTATTCATTACCTAAATGAAAAATGTTCCTAGAAATTTGAAAGGAAAGTTCAACTTTCATCCGCCTGTCAGCCATTTGCAATGCGTGAATGACAACACCAGAGCGATGTGATGGTGCGCCACCGCCCTGGTGGCCTGATTCTGGCAACAAAACATAATAACCAGAAATACAAGTTTCACATCCTGTATTGCAATTCTTTTTCCCAAAATATAAACAACTACACCACAGCTGATCATAGAGGAGGTAAGAGTTGTTGTACAAAATCCACTTTAAAATATCTTAAAATAAATGTATGATGAAACATACTGTACTAAAGCAGTTTTTTCCACAAAATATCTTTGTAAAATAAGGGTGCATCCAATGCGAGGGTGCGTGTTTTACACCGGCAAAATTGGTAGCTGCTGCTTCTCCCATGGACAGTACTAGACGGCCAGTCTCACTCAACATTTGTTCTCATCATGGTAGAAGTATTTTCAAATGTCTGATAGGTTATACATTGGTATCTCCTATTTATATCATCTCAAACTCATTCATATATGAATCTATTGGCCCATGCTAGGCAGCTTTTATTTTTATTGTAGAAATAAATAGGAGCTACCTCATAGTCCATACATGAACGAGTTTGGGTGGATATAAATAAGAGCTGTCTCTTATTGATGAGAAGGCCTTCTGCAGTTCCTTTATTATGTTCAAATGATGATTGGTTGACCAATCATCAATTCAAATGATGATAACAAACATAAGAGTTGTGAAAATTATGTGAACATAATCAGCATACATATGTAAATGTAATGGAATTTTATACCATGACAATTACCGCATTTGCATTGTAAGGTAATCATGAAACGATAACAGGATTTTTTCATGGATCATGGTAAACTATACTACATCCATATAGAGCTGTTATATCCATATTAGCATCATTGGTGAAAACCTAGACAGAAATAATTTAACACTACATACACAGTAACTGCATTGCTTAGTGAATGGCCCTGTGATGATAACTGCACTTCAAGGGTTAAATTGAGAGGAAGTAGGACAAGAGGACATAGTGGGAAGCTGGAAATGCAAAGTTGTCGAAGAAACGTAAGGAAATTGTTAAGAGTTGTGTGTATAGGTATTCAACAAGTACTTTCACTGAAAGTAGTAGTGGCAGCCATCTCCACTCACAACTTGAAAGCCTGATTTAACAAAACTTAAACATGATGAAAGTTAAAATAAAATGTTCACCTAGCTCTAAATATAGGTATGCAGGAATTAGACAAGTGAACCACTGTTGTGGGTGGCATCCTGGGAGTGGTCAGTCATTGGCTTAGGGAAGGCTTAGGCTTAGGTTTATCAAGGCTTAGGGAAGCCTTCATAAGTCTAACAGATTTCCTGTCTCGCAAGTTTGGAAACCATATAACAAATGTGTTCTAATGCTGCTGGTGTCTACTCTATTTCCTGTTCGTCTTGTCCTCTCCAATACTTTGGCGAAACTGGTCGTACACTTAATGACAGACTTAACACAAGAGAAGTGTTAAGTCTGCAGATACTAACAATGCTCTCTTCTGCCATGTGAGGGATTCTAATCATCCCATTGATTGGTCTTCCTCCAAAATAATCTTTCCTGCCTCTACTCTACACAGACGCCGTCTTGTTGAATTGGCTCTAATACACAATGTACCCAACATGAACTTGAGTCCTGGCTTTGTTGCTGTGGACTCTTCCCTTTCACAGTATATACTCAAATGCTCTAATCTTTCTAACAAACGTGACTTTACATAAGCTTACCCTTTTCATTTACCTTTCTTTCTCTTTCCTTTCTTTCTCTTTTCTCTCTTTTTTCTGTTGATTGTCTTCTCCTACGTTCCCTCGCTTTCCTCTTCTCATTATTTTCTCCTTCTCTTTCAGTGGTTATAATAGGAAGTGCCTCGTATGGGCCAATAGGCCCTCTGCAGTTCTTACTACTAGCCCCTCTACTACACCTTACTTTGCTCCTCATCTCTCTCGTGCCTATTTATTGCCTGTCTCTACTTCATCACAATTGACTTGAGAATGGTCCAGGACGGACCGAAACGTCGTCGTCCCTTCACATTCTAGTGTGTGGTCTTGTCATCAAACCATATACAGTTTTAATAGATTTGTCATATATCAAATCTAATGTAATCTGCCATGTGAATTTAAACTATTTCATATAGGATTTATAAAAAAAAAAAATTCTTTAATTTTTCAGCCTTAAAAGTCAACTGAGCTACACACAAAACCAACTTGAACGACTAAAAAAGACAAATGTGTTTAATACCACTTTCCATATCTGGCATTCTGGCCATTTTGGAACAATAAATAATCTTCGCTTAGGTCGACTCCCTACTGCTCCTGTCACCTGGCAAGAGATAAATGCTGCATGGGGCCAGACTGTTTTGCTCTTGGCTTCTCTAGCAAGGAAAATAGGACTCAAATTTTCAAAGTATAGATTGGTTCCTTTTGGCAACCACTCATATATTGAGGTTAGTAATTTTTAGCATTAATATGATTTTTTTCTGTGGGAAGTCCTTACGGCCCCTTCTTGGCTTCCTGGAACTATCGGACTGATATACGATATATTAGTCTGGGGCATCAGTCAATTGGAGTTCAGCCTACCGGGGACAAGAAGCCAGAACCTGGCTCCCTCAGCAGGTTATCTTGAGAGGCAAAGGGAGCAATGGCATATGAAAACCCCCATATGTTTGGGAGCATTCCATGTCTGCCATCGACCAGGGTTAGGTACCCAGAAAGGTAGGCATAAAAAACAGACCCCCACTTTGTAACAAAATTGCAACCGAAGACCGAACAGAGAGGCAAGTTGCCCCTTTGATCCCGCTTACGTTTTGGTGTCCTCTTCGAGGGGTTTTCTTACCCCCCCCCTTCCCTGTATGAGTATGAAATGGGGTCGGTTCCTTCCCCGGGTTCGGTTCCAGGTTCCCTTGGTTTCTTTGGCTCCTTCTTTCCAGAGGTTTTCTTGCCTCTCAAATCTCGCTTAAGAAGGCTTGGGAAGCTGTTGCTGTGTGCCTCCTACAAGACCAGATTTTGCCTGTGATGGATTCATCCTCATTTGAGTTCAGTTCTTCTTCCCTGTATTAGGTGCATTGTGAGGTCCCAGAGTCTTCCTGGCTTGCAGACTGCTCTTTTCCCGCTTCTTTCCAGTGCCGAAACAGAACTGTGCCAAGTGCTTGGATGGTGTGTCTGGAGCTCTGGGATGCATATTGGCATGTCTCGATTCATCTGGGGTTCAGGGACTGGCTAAGTTTTGTGGTGGGGCAGCAGGCTTACTGCTTTCGTTGCCTTCCTTTTGGCTTAATTCTGACACCTCTCATATTCACGTGTTTTACCCAGGTGGTGGTGACCCGTCAGTGTCTGCTAGGGATTCGGGTTCTGGCCTACCTTGACAACAGGTTGGTGTGGGCTCCCAGTTGGTCTGTATGTCTGCTCGCCGAAGGTGTGGTTCTTTTCCATCTCACCAGGTTTGGGTTCCTGGTGAACTGGAGGAAGTCCTATCTGGTACCATCTTGGGTGCGGACCTGGCTGGGCCTCATATGGGACTCTCAGACCGCTTCCTTGTCTCTCCTTCTGGAGGCATTGCTGAGGCTGCGGTCCCTCCTCCAGGTTATTCGAGCAGTTGTGCAGGAGTCTAAACTTTGTCATGCTGGTTTACCCGCCGGATCGGTTCTGGCTTCGATGTCTGTTCTGGTTACTCTGGAGCCATCCCTTTCATCTCTCTCTCTCTCATGATCGCTGGGTTTGGCCTGCGGGGGCCTTGTGTCGGTTGCTGCATCGCCAGCTTCCTCTTTGGGTTCTTCTGGGTTCAGTGCCTTGGTGTTGCCCGAGCCCTCGCTCAATGTGTTCATGGACTTGTTGTCTCTTGACTGTGGCTTTGTGACGAGTCCTCACCAGGCCAACCAGGGGCAGTGGGGTCTATCCTTTTGTCGGGCTTACAGCATGGTGCGGGAGTTCGAGGTGGTTTGGCTGTCGCTTCAGAGGGTTCTGATCGCTTGGGGTTCTACAATCCTTTTCCATTTGGACTCAGTGGTTCATTGTCTGAACTGCAGGGGTTCTCTTCAGGCCTTGGCTCTTTGGGGCTGGTCTCTTTGAGTGACTTGTCTGCTTGATTCTCGGGGTTTGGCTGTCTGTGCGGTTCATATCCAGGGAAATTCCAACGTCCTGGCGGACGGCCTATCTCGGTTAATTCATCTGTCCATAGAATGGACAGTAGACACCAACTCCTTCAGTTGGCTCTTCTTTGACATACTGGCTCCCGGAGCTGGACCTCTTCGCATCAACGTAGTCTCAGTGTCTCCTGATATACGTGGCGCCCTTCCTAGACTGCAGAGCCGTTGCGGTTGATGCCTTTCAGCAGGACTGGGCGAGGAGGGGTTATCTGTTCCTCTTTTCACTGGTCCAGCTGATGCTTCGGGTTCTGGGTCATTTGGAGTATTACCATGGGAGATTGGCCCATCTAGCCCCTTTGTGGCTGGCCCAGTATTGGTTTCGGGTGCTGCTTGCTTGGTGTCCAACTTCAGTGTGTTTTCAGGGGTCTCCTCCTCTTTCAGCAGATCGGACCGGTCCAGTACATGGATGGGTTGGTTTACTCCGCTGCTCTTCGCGTTTGGTCTTTTTGACGTGGGTTTATCACCATTTGTATGGTGATCAGGTGGCTTCTTTGATGATGTCCCACCTGTGAGCTTTGTCTCGGTGAAAGTATGAAGTTTCCTGGCATTCTTTTCGGCATTTTATCTCTTCGTCGGTTGTCTTCTATTTCCGATTGGGTTGTTTTGTCCTTCTTTCTTGTCTTTTTCAGGACCGTCATTTGATGCCCAATACTGTCACCTCTTACATGCGGTGCTGGCAGAGCCACTCCAGCTTGCATTCAAGGTGAGTGTCTCTTCAGCACCGTTTTGCAAACTTTCTCGTGCTTTGTTTCACCTCCAGCCAGCTCGTGCGCTGCCTGAGCCATTTTGGTCCTTGGACCGGATGCTCTCTTTTTTTTCTCTACACTACTCGGTTTGTGGTGGCCCCCCTTCATTTCAAGATTGTTTTTCCAAAGTTTTGCTTCTGTTAGCATTGGCCTCTGGGGATCAGGTTGGTGAACTTCATGCTCTCCTCCAGTACAGGGGTTTCTGCTTTTTTGGTCTTGGTGATCGGTTTGTTCATTTGCAGCAGTCTCCTTTCCTGGCGAAGAACGAAACAGCGACCTTTCGGAGGGGCTCTTGGGTCATTGATGCTTGGGTGGTCAGGCCGGGGATGCATCATGTGTTATCTGGTTGCGGCTCTTCGCCATTATCTGTGCGCCTCAGCTTTCGTGGCTGGGGATGCGCTTTGGGGATCCGATTTCCCTCTTTCCTTGTTCCAGGGCTCAGGTCTCCCAGGTTGTTCTCAGGGTTATGGGGTATTAGGTCTCGCCAGCCTGCGGCCTACCCCACATGCCCATGACATTCGTTAGTTTGCAGCTTTGGCTGCTGTGTTTGGCAACATGTCTTGGGCTAACATTCAGGCACAGGGGTTTTGAAGGTCGAACAGGATACTGACTGCCTGCTATCTGGTCAATATTCCTGGTCCCGGTTGTTCGTGTGCGGCTTTGGGTCGCAGGTTGCAGCCAGTTGTCTCGACTTCGAGTTGAAGAGCTCATGGCAGCCTCCTTCTGGGTAAGTCCCTCTTTTACTTGTCTTTGGGTAGGTATAGCCCTTGTCTTTAGGTTAACTTTAGCCTCCCTACAGAAAACTAGCGTTGAATGTAATGAAATGCCATTTTCTGGGTGAGCCCAAGAGGCCTCCTGGTATCCTCCCACCATCTGGTTGACGGTTTTTGTTTTGTTTTGATGTTCAGCCTCTGAACTAAAGGTGTGAGTAGCCGGCATGAGGGGCGGGGGGGGGGGGGGGGGTCCGAGGAGGGGAAGGTTGCACGGACAAACAGCACAGTGGCAGTGTGTGATGTTTGCTCGTTTGCTAGTTTCTTAGGGTTGGAAGAGTTCTGCCTCTGTTCGGTTTATAGTTGCAATTTTCTTACCAAGTAGGGTCTGTTTTGTTATGCTTACCTTTCTGGGTGCCTAACCCTGGTCGATGGCAGACATGGAATGCTCCCAAACACATGGGGGTTTCCATAGGCCATTGCTCCCTTTGCTTCTCTGAGAGGGGGGGGGGGGGCAGATCCTGGCTCATAGTCCTCGGTAGGCTGAACTCCAATTGACTGATGCCCCAGACTAATATAGCCTATATCAATCCGATAGCTACAGGAAGCCTCCGGGGCTCACACAGATAATGGCTTTTCATTACATTCAACGCTGGTTTTATATTCAATAATACTTTAACGTTGTTAAAAGCTCCTTTCTGAGTATGTTCAGTCTGTTGCACCCATACGTATAACATGGCTGAGTGCTTATGATGCTCACAATTGCAGTCAGGCAAAATAACATTGTCACTAGTGCCACAGAAGGCTTTAGCTTATTTGTAGAGTTGTATAAATTGCTTCACAGCATTAGACAAAATCTATCTAGTCAAAATGAACTAAGACTAACATTTTCTGTTAACAGGTTATTGGTGAAAATCGTGAATTACCCTTGTATGGATCTGGTGGATTCCGATTTTTGTGGGATACCAAGTTCGATGCAGGGATGACTGCCTTTTTGGAATGTGTAGCAGAATTTCAACAGCATGTGGAAGCACAAGGTGGCCAGGCAGCTCGTTTTTGTCTGCCATATCGTATAAATAAACACTGTATTGAAGATCCTACTTCTGGCAATTCTCTTTCTATAAAGTAAGTCTAGTAAATTAAGCAAGAGTTTAAGACAAGTGATGACCTCAGGTATTAAATCATTTGGCTGTGGTCATCTATTGGGACGGGTAAGGGTAAATTATAAGTTTTATTTAACCTTTCAAATACTGTGTCATTCAGGAATGATTACGTAATTTCTGACCCCTCTGCGCAAGTCAGTGAAGGGATGATTAAAAGTACGGTACTGTGCTGCATAAGATTTAAAAGTCCTTCATGTACATGGGGCTTGCATTTCCTTCCTCAGGCCTCCATTAAACAGATGCCATCTTAGGGAAGACAATTGTGGGGACCCCTCCTGGGTGTGAGGGGCCTCGGTACTGAGAGAAAGGAGCTATTGCGGTAAAGTGCTAACCCATTAGACCAAATAGCACTGGGAAGGGGGTCAGAATAAGGATTTTGAATGGGACAGGGTGAAGGAATGGTGCCCAATCACTTGAAGGTCTGGGATTGAATGCCGACCTACATGAAGTAAGACCGTCGCTCTACTGTCCAGATCAAGTACCGAGAGAGCGACCACGAGTAGTGCATGCAGCAGATCTTGGTGTCATAGATGATCGTGACTGTAATAAGACTGTGCACAAGGTTCAGATATCAGTGAACACAATGCTGGTTATGATGAGAAAATCCACAGGAGCCATAACAAGAAAATCTACAGTAGCTGTGATGAGGATTTGAATCCTCGTTACGGCTCCTGTAGATTTTCTCGTTGCGATATCACAATGTGATTTCTCTGTGTATTGAAATAGGGGTGATGGGTAGAATTATTGGACAACAGAGCCATAGTGCATGGGGGTAATTGTGTGAAACCCCGGCTTGGCTTTAGTGGAAGCCTCGGGAATCCTCGAGGGTGCAACAATACCCCAGGTTGCAATTTTTTTATCATGTTGTGGCATAGTCATTCAGAGCATGCATCTGGGAATACCCAGCGCATAGGTGCGAATCCTCATCACGGCTCCTGTGATTTTCTCATTGATATACAGTATCACGATAATGTGATTCCTGTGTGTGCCATGCATATTCTTCTGTCTGCAACCGTGTATATTCTTCTGTCTGCAACCGTGTGTATTCTTCCTTCTGTCTGCAACCGTGTGTATTCTTCCTTCTGTCTGCAACCGTGTATATTCTTCTTTCTGTCTGCAACCGTGTGTATTCTTCTTTCTGTCTGCAACCGTGTGTATTCTTCTGTCTGCAACCGTGTATATTCTTCTGTCTGCAACCGTGTGTATTCTTCTTTCTGTCTGCAACCGTGTGTATTCTTCTTTCTGTCTGCAACCGTGTGTATTCTTCTGTCTGCAACCGTGTATATTCTTCCTTCTGTCTGCAACCGTGTGTATTCTTCCTTCTGTCTGCAACTGTGTGTATTCTTCCTTCTGTCTGCAACCGTGTGTATTCTTCCTTCTGTCTGCAACTGTGTGTATTCTTCCTTCTGTCTGCAACTGTGTGTATTCTTCCTTCTGTCTGCAACCGTGTGTATTCTTCCTTCTGTCTGCAACTTTGCATATTCTTTCTTCTGTCTGCAACCGTGCATATTCTTTCCTTTGTCTGCAACTGTGCATATTCTTTCTTCTGTCTGCAACTGTTCATATGCATCCTTGTGTCAATAACCTGTGTATTAACCAGATCTGCATGCATCATCTTAGGAAAGGTTAAGTATGACGTACTGTACTGTGCATTGATTTGCATGCAAGGCGGCAGTGTACTGTACTTTATATACAGTGGAACCTTGAATAACGAATTTAATTCGTTCCGACATGAGCTCGTCATGTGAAATGCTCGTCTTTCAAAACAAATTTTCTCATTTAAAATATTGGAAATAAAAATACTGTAACCCGTTCCACCACCGAAAACATCAATATGATTTTTTATTTTTTAGATAATGGTTTATAACATTTGTTCTTTTTTCAAATTTGTTCACTTTTTTTTTCTTTTTTCTTTTTTTCTTTTTTTAGCAAAAGGTTCGTTCAGTTCATGTCAGGTAGGCTGCTCCATGTTTATAAAAAAAAAATAAAAAAAAATTAACAAATTTGAAAAAAGGACAAATGTCATGAAGGTTCGTTCAGTGTTTGTCAGGTAGGATGCTCCATTATGACAATCTTTATTTGTTTCAAATGTGTTCAATTTGTTTTGTATTTTTCATTTATTTATTAATGGAGCAGCCTACCTGGCACAAACTAAATGAACGTTTGACATTTGTCCTTTTTTTTCTTTTTTTTTTTTTTTTTTTTTTTTTTAAGGAACTTGGAGCAGCCAACCTGACATACACTGAACGAACCTTTTTGACATTCTTTTTTCAATTTTTTTCAATTTTTTTTCTTCTACGAAAAAAATTCAATGCTTTGCAACATCACAGCAGTCACTCCTTTACAACCCAGCATCATTAGCATCTTTAAAACAAACAAATAATGTATTTGCATTGTGGAGGCATCCGAGAATGTGCGAGAAGCAGCTGGAACGCCCCATGTGGTTTTCTCGTTAATCAAACGAGCGCTCGCCAATTGCGACAAATTATCGGCGCATTCGTTATTCAAAATGCTCGTAAATTGAGGCGCTCGTCACTCGAGGTTCCACTGTATATGTAGAAATGATTTATAGGGCACTATTACTTAATGGAAAATTAGGGTGCTTATTTAAGATGTGTTAAGGTTTAGTACAGCTATTCCATCCTATTACTGTAGCTGGAGGTAGAGGTGCTTGACGAAAGGCACACACCAAGGTGCTTTTTAGGGTTTTTGGTTAAATAATTAATGTAAGATTCATAAGTTCAATCTAATATTATACTTTAATTATAATATGCTACTAAGACAGTTGATATCTTTTACAGGATGCAGTTCAACAGTGAAGAGCAGTGGACCAAAGCTCTCAAGTTCCTTTTGACTAACCTCAAATGGGGACTTACATGGGTATCTTCAGCCCTCTTTTCTAGTACACAGGGCGAAACTTAGGAAAACAGGAATGATTGTGGTGGTTTGTGTAAATATCTCGATTGGGACTGGGAAGAGAAACAGGTGGGGTGTTCAAGAATGTTATGAACAATCCATGTTTATTATATTCATTTTTTTTTATATTTAAGAAAAAATATTTAATGTATTTTGGATTTATTTTTTTCTGGCAGGGAACCGTTAGTGGCTCCCTGAGCTAATGGAACACATGGAATCACCAAGCCTTAGCCCTGCATGCTAGGGCTCTGAGACCCAACCATTGTATACTGGAAGCCATGACCAAAATCTGGCTCACTGTAAAGGAAGGGGGAGCAGGGGATAAGAGATCAACCACAAAACTTGGGGAAGTTCGTTTTCTTTTGTCTAAGCTTGCTGATGAGTTTCCTCCTGATTAGTTGTTAATCTCTTATTCCCTGCTTCACTTGCTTTGTAGAGTAAGTTAGTCTTGATCTAGCTCCTTGAAGGTGACAGATGGGTTTTGAAGGTCTGGTGTGTTAACGAAGGCTTGGTGGTACATTGTAATAGTAGATAGAGCTGAACTTGTGTAGCATTTCAGGAATTAAGCAAATTTATAGGATAAAAATTATGTGAATTATGTAGTATGAAGTGCTTAGAAAAATGTATAGATTTAAGCACAATAAGACAATATAGATATGTTAAAAATAGGATGAAAAGTTAGTCCTGTACACTACTGTACAGTGAAAAAAAGAAAGCAAAATAATATTAGAAATTGGCTGTGTTTTCAGCAGAAATTAATGTATAAATATGATAAGTCTGTAATGCATGCATACAAATGGTAAAGGGGCATAGTACAGAAAATTGTGATGGAAAAGTGTGAATGGGGATTGTATTGGTGATGAATTAAATCAATAAATTTGTATTGTTCTCCATTCTGTGATTTGGAAGGTTTGGTTCATTGTCTCACTTTTTACTGTATTATTAAATTTAAGAAGTGTGAGATATTTTGAGATATGTGGGATGAAGGCAGCTCAGTTTGAGAACTTGATCATTGGCTGTGAGTCATGTGAAACATTAATTTCATTGATTAACTAAGGTCATGTGGAACCTAAATTTTGGTGATAAACAAAAGGGATTAACTACTGCAGGGAATTAAATTAGGTTTTTTGTTTTGCGGATAAGTTGCAAGTATGGCTATATCCAACCATAGTTTACCAACAACTATTTTTTAGTGAGAGCTTAACCAATTACAAAATATCTTCAGTTGGTTTTCACAATACTATATAGTCTTCCTGACTTGACTCCGTCTTTTGATAACTACTTCAGCTTACATTCACATCTTGGTTTGGTTTAGGCTTAACATATATTAAGTTTTTTCAGGAAGTAACTTGCTGCACTAAAGTAGCAAACATTCAGCGCATGAATATAGTGAACCAGTTATGAATCTTATAGCTATAGCCAACTGACACAGCCAAATGGTGCACTATTTTTAAGCAGTATATATCACATGATGCTTAAATATTTAAAAAATTGGGTGACTTTCCAAATTGAAGTACAGTACAATTATAAGGAAGAATTTGAGGTAAACTTTGAACACACACACACACACACACATGATCTCTTCCTTTCACCTTGTTGCCTGTCATAATGGTCCCCCTTCTAACAAATTGTTGATTATTTTGATAGATTATAAGTATTATGTTGCAGTTGTGTCAAATATCCACATATTTTTCAGGGTTATCACTTAAAATTATAAATTGTGTATTTTAGAAATTAACCAGATTAGAAGTTGAAGAGATTTCATTAGCATGTAGAGTTTTAGGAAATAAAGCTCTGGAATATTACAGTATAGTTTCAATGTAAATTAGTTTTAACTTTTTTTTCATTAATGTCTAATTTATTCTTGTATAACCAATCACAAAATTATTGTAGCACATTCTTATTGTTAACATTACTTTTTTCATTCACAGTTTGTTCGAATTGACTTGTATCGCATCTGAACATGCATTGCAAAATGGAGGAATTATAATTGTAGTTTAGATTTTACAAAATTTAATATTAACTGAAAGAATAAAATAAAAACATATTTAATAAAAAATGAAGACTGCAATTCAAGGAAATTCTAAGTTCATTAGCTTAAATTTCTATCAGTTCAAATTTTTAAAATAAATAACTATATATATATATACTACATGCTATTGAGGTAATTAAATAAGTGAAAATAAACAAAAGTTCCAAATGTGTAATGTATACAGGCAAATTTAAACATGGAACAAAATTAATAATTGAATATTAATGAAATTATAAGCAATTAAGCAAAACTGGTTGTGTTACACAGTTATAGGGTAAGCAAGCATCTATCGTGATTATAATTTCAAAATTGTATTGGTTAATCATTACAGTAAACTGCTGATGTTGGTTGTATGGTACATAGTTGTGCTACATGCAGCATAGTGAATGTTGTATTTCCCAAGATATTTTCTCTTTATTTTTTGTCTTATATTTTCTAGACAATTTGCTACTCTAATTGGAAGACATCCAGAAAGTCAGCATAATTTTACAAACAACTGGAGGGCTTACAGAAATCAAAGCCTTGAAATTGCCAAACAGCTCTGCAAAAGATTCAAATGAAACCATATATTCACTCAAAACTGACTCAAACTCATTAGTACCGATGGCAGCTTCCAGGGAGTCCAATTCTGAGCCCAAGGCTAGCTTTCCTGGTCAGTTCTGTTGCTGATATAGTGGTGGTTAATACTGTCTGTAGTGCTCTGTCAGTCATGGCAAGCCCCTCTGTTTCGAACCAAGTGCCACCTATCCTTGGATTTCCTTCGTCCTGTAAGGGCCATGTTCTCATATATTGCTCTTTGCTTCAAGTATTAGCTTTAAGTGCATGTTTACTCTCAAGCTTGTTGTGTGAGCCTGGCTTCTATGTCACTTCAAACTGCATTTGCTCAGGGTTTTCTTCCCTGGGTGTTGGCTAGTGCTGCCCTTGCACTGACTGTTACTTCTCTGGTATCTTTGGGAGTTCGTCCATGAGAGGCCTGGCCACCAAAGTGGAAAGCTTCACCTTGGGCCTTTACGAGTCTTTGACTCCTCTGTTTGGAGTCTCCTGCTTTCTCGTTGTCAGTCTTCCTTTGTAGTTGTCGTTGACTCTCGTAGTGCCCTCATGGCTCTCGGGTCTTTTAATCCGGTCCAGCCAGTGGTCGTCGAGATTCAGCATTGGCTGTTTCTTATTTCCAGTAAATTTAAGTCGGTTGAGTTTTACTGGGTTCCCAGCCATATTGGTGTCTCTTTAAAATGAGCGTGCGGACGCTGCCGCTTGGGAAGCCATCTGCGCTTGTCCCATCTCCCGTAAAGGTATTCCTTATTCTGACTTTTATCCTGTTATTCATTCCTCCATCCTTGCCTGTTGGCAGGGTTGTTGGTCTTCTGTAGTTGGTAACAAGTTGCGCACTTTTAAACGTAGTGTGTCCCTGTGGCCTTCCTCTTGCCACCGTAACCAGCGGTGGGAAACTGCTCTAGCAAGGTTGCGGATTGGCCATACTCGCTTAGCTCACGGTCACTTAATGGAGCGCCGCCCTGCTCCTTATTGTCCAAATTGCGTTGTCCCTCTTACAGTTGTGCATATCCTTGTTGAATGTCCTGACTTCCAGGACGTGCGTGTCTTGCTTTCCAACTGTCCCTCGCAGTCACTTGTCCCTCGATAGAATTCGTGGTGAACCAGATACTTTTGATATCGTTCGCCTTATGCGTTTCTGTTCTCGTATTGGCATTCTTGGTGATATTTAGTGCCTTCTGATTATTTTGCACTTTGATGGTGCTACATAGCCTTCCCGGTTTGGTGCCTTTTGATAATTACTTACTTACTCATTCCTCCATCCTTACCAGTTGGCAGGATTGTTGGTCTTCTGTTACTGGTGACAAACTGCATACTCTTAAGAGTAGTGTGTCCTCATGGCCTTCCTCCTACCACCGTAACCGGCAATGGGAAACGGCTCTGGCGAGGTTGCCTATTGGCCATACACGCACTTATTGGAGCGCCGCCCTGCTCCTTATTGTCCAAATTGCATTGTCCCTCTTACGGTCGTGCATATCCTTGTTGAATGTCCTGACTTCCAGGACGAGCGTGTGTCTTGCCTTCCGACCGTCCCTCGCAATCGCTTGTCCCTTGATAGAATTCTTGGTGAATCGGGTACTTCTGATATCGTTTGCTTTATGCGTTTCTGTTCTCATATTGGCATCCTTGGTGATATTTAGCGCCCTCTGACTATTCCCCACATTTGATGGTGCTACATAGCCTTCCCGGTTTGGAGCCTTCTTTTGATAATTACTTACTTACTTCCTCTGTTTGGATCCTTGGTTGGGAGCATTCTGTTGGGTGTGCTGGGGGTACACTCACTTTTTAAGACAAAAATATATGTATGAACAAATCCACAGGAGCCTAGATGAGGGTTTGAACCTATGCGCTAAGTGTTGGCAAACGTGCTCTGGTCAGTTGTATCACGACATGGTAACTGACCTCATGCTCTTTATATCTGAAAGTACGAGGATGTTAATCATCCTTGCTACCAGGCGATGCTCATTCTTTCTGCCTCGGTGTTGTCTGCTTGGTTGGTGACACCCATGATCCTGGGCCTGGGAGGTTTGCTCTCACTGGGTCTTTGCATTGACTGATTTGGCTTAGCATTTGAAAGCTTATCAGGTGGCTGCTGCTTTATTAGCTAAGTTTGCTCAGATTAGATGCTTGCAGCATTGTGATTGTTAGGAAGCCCCAGAGTTGGCACCGATGGTATTTAGGGACCTGGAATTGGAGATTTTGGTGACCACCTGGATTAAGTCCATGACTCCTCTTCCTTCCCTTGCCGGTGTCATTCACCCTACTTTTAGTCTCTGGCCCCCCCCCCCATCCCTTACCCCAGGTTCCAGCTCTGAAGCACCCAAGGGTTTCAAAAGTCAGGGGTTGGTTTAGCTTGGGGTGGAACTTGGCTTTCTCTGAGGGTGGCCCCATCCACTTTGTGGTGCAAGCCATCTGGTTCCACTGGGGGGTTCAGCATTTTTCACCTTCACAGGTGCCTCTCCACTCTGAACTTCTCCTTGGGAGGATACCTTTCTGTCTCAGGCAAGGTGAGAACTCTCTCAATCCAAGGTGAGGACTTCAGCTCTGCTCTACTGCATTAGTGGGAATCTTGGGGAGGGAGGGCGACAGAACTCGAATAGTGTCCATGAGTACCTTTTTACCCTGCGTGGGTTCTGGTTTCCCTCTGCGGAGGATCTTTTGTTTCAGGTTGAGAATTTTTCCAAGTCCCCTCTGTGTAGATCAGTATGATCTAGTATGTGTGATCCTAGTATGATCACTCGGCCACTTCCCCTTTGGTTCGATTCCAGGTCCCATTCAGTGCCATGAAGTCGTAGTATTTCTGAAAGTTTCTATCTTGTTGTATTTTGCCTTCAGTGACTCGAGCAGACCTGTTGTGGTACCATTTGTGGAATTCAGATCTCTTTTCATTGATGGACTTGGGCTTAAGTATAGGTCTGCCTTTATTGACATTATGGCTGGCTGATAACCCTCTCATTTCGCTGGGGGCTTGGCAGAGGTTCTGTCAGATTCACATGAATGATTGGCAAGAGGTGACCTCCATCTTTTAGGTGTCCCTGGGCAGTGTTTCTTATGCTTCACTCAGAGACTGCCTGTTTGCTCTGGTGTTCCCCAAGTATGTGGGCAATTGGCTGCTCCACTTTCCTATATTCAGCTCTCTTGTTGCAGATGACCACCTGGTGTGTTATGCACTTGCATGTTTGGGATCTCATGCAGGGGCTCTGAGTGACTCTGTGAGGATGTGGCTTTGCTTGGTTCTGCCCTGGGTGTGAAGGCCTTGTGGACCTGCAGTTTCAGCCTGAATTAGGTTCAAGGAGCTACCAAGGGGCCTTCCCCAGAAACCAGGCAGGCATTGAACATGATGAAATACATCTTTCTGGTAGAGCCCTAGTGGCTCCCTGATTCCCTCCCATCCCTCCAGATTTGTCATTTCATTGGTTGGTTGTTCATTAGCTACAGAACTGATCAGAACTAGTTATGGGCTGGGGCTGGGCCATCTGATGGTGGCTATCAGTACTATTGAGTTCAGGCTAGTTTTGAGCAAGTCTATTGTTTTGTTTTAATCGTTTAGAGTTGTTCAGCAGTTTTGGGGGCTTTGTTTCCTGTGAACCCTCCAGTTGTCTGTAAAGATTCACTGACTTTCTGGATGCTTTCTTGGTGGAGGTGGTAAATTGTCATGCTCTCTACACCTCTGAGGGGGGAGGGGGGGCTCAAGTACCGTCTCTGTTACCGTTGTTATACATTATATAGAGCAAGCCAAGCGAGATATAGCTTCCTCTTATATTCTCTAAACAAATTGAGTAATTAACTTCCAGATTCTCAAACTGACAAATCTTTTATTTTTTTACTTTAAATGCAACAGTCTTCATTTATTAAATTTATTGTTCATAACACATGATTGTCTGTGATATATATACATGTGTGTTCTGTAAATACCCTGTATTGTATATAGAAGAACTTGAGACTTTATGCAGAATAAAAAGTAAATATTTTAAGAAAAATGAAAAAATATTACTTTTAATTATGTTCTAGCTGAGTAAATTAGTTATAAAAAAAGTTAAATATTGTTTTTCTTTCAAATCAGAATACTGTACAGTATATTACTATATAATTCTTTACTGCAACTCCCAGGTACTCCTTTACTGTTAGATGAAGACAGGCATCAGGTGAATGGCAGCATCTTCATCCTGCACTGGAATCAAATCCATGACTGGTTGTGAATTGACTATCTACAGTATAATGATTAGCTAATATACAGTACAGGAAAATAGAAAGTTACTGGCTGCTTAGGTCATACAGTTTATTATTCACAGTACATCAGTCTGTATCGGTTCACTGTTAAGTGACAGGCATCTCACATCTGCTTCGACAATTTTTTCTTAGACTTCGTCCTTAGTCTGCCAGCTGATTTCGTCTATTGATTCTGATATTTTTTTCTATCGGGTTCCCCCTTGTTTCTCCCTGAAACTCCTTCCGAGATGACTACTACTAAATTGCATCAGTCATGAAGTTTAGTTTGGCCTGATGAGGACCAGTGCTAGAACTGGGCCCCTTTACAGAGGCACGGGAAACAGGTGACATTCCACCACCTCACCAAGGAAGACACCCAAAAAGTCAGAGAACCAATACGCAAGGCCTCATTACCTGTGAATGAATGAACTCCAACAGTCTAAACAATCAAAAATCTCTCAAAACAAGTGTGCACTTGTATGCTCCAACCCCTCCCACTTGTTTGAAGAGAGAGGGAGGGGCAATGGGGCTCATGCTGTTCATTGGCTCAATGCATCAGCTCCTCTGGTGATGCAGCTCGTGCTTCACATCTGCAGTAGGGCCTAACTCTGGTGCTTTTCAGCTAAGTGCCTCGTTGGATGTCATCTTGTATGGTTTGTCTTGTACATTGTTGGTGCAGCCTGTCATGGCCTTTTTAGTGTGCTTAGACTGCATGTGCTCAAGGTTACCTTCTCTAAGTGGTTTCTAGTGCTTCCCCTGCACTGACAGTTTTATTCTCTGGTGTGTTCAGAAGTTTGCTCTCTTAGAGGTCCTTCCTGCTTGGGGGTCTCTCTGCACGTCTTGTCTTGGGTCGGGAGCTATCGTTGGCTGGTGGAGTACTTTGGTAGCTCGTGTGTTTGTATTTACTGCACACCAAAGTCAGCCTTTGTAGCCATATAACTGAGGCTGTATCGGCTTACTTTTAGGTCCAGTGTAGCATCCTCAGTGCCTGGGTGTCTTGCTTGGTTTATCTTTCAGGCCCTAGAAATTGCTTATGGGTTCAGCGTGGTCAATTTATAATTTCCCGAAACCATTCTTGCCTTGTGCAAATTTCAGGGTTGCTTGTTCTCCATATCATGGAGTGACAATAATTTGTTCTCGTTCCACCATGCAACATGTTAGCTCAAAGATGCATATGACCCAGAATCCTGTGGGGGGTTTACACTACCCATGTGATTTTTTTTATCTAACCCTTCCAGTAAGGTTTATGCATATCAGGTGGCTATTGCTGATATAAGCCATATAGACTTTGGCAGATGGGCTATATTTTCGCCCATCTGCAGCAGTTTTGTGTTGTGTAGCTGGCCCACCATGTGTTTAGGGACCTACAATTAGAGGTGATGGTGAACTCTACCTTGGCTCTGTCTGCACATCCTCTTCCTTGCCCCTTCGGGTGTGCTTTGCACTGCCTCTGATCTTCCTTCCCATGCTTCTGGCCCGGAAACATCTAAAAAGGCATTTTCTGACTCCACCAAGGTTTGAGATTTTTTTTTCCCAATCAGTATCTTTTTCTGAAACCTCTCCCTTGAACTCTTGCTTTTCTATCCTGGGCTAGTTCTGCTCTGGGGTCCTTCTTGGCTGATTCCCCAGGAGAGTTGGATAGGGGGCCTTTGGATCCCCTTGGTCCCTTTGGATGAGGGCCTTTTACTTAGGGAAGGCGTTTTTATATCTCCCCTCCTAAGGGAGCCGGTCGGCCGAGCGGACAGCACGCTGGATTTGTGATCCTGTGGTTCCGGGTTCGATCACGGGCGCCGGCTAGAAACAATGGGCAAAAGTTTCTTTCACCCTATGCCCCCTGTTACCTAGCAGTAAAATAGGTACCTGGGTGTTAGTCAGCTGTCACGGGCTGCTTCCTGGGGGTGGAGGCCTGGTCGAGGACCGGGCCGCGGGGACACTAAAGCCTCAAATCATCTCAAGATAACCTCAAGATAACCTAACCTCCTTGTATGATTTTGATTTTATGCGGCTTTCCCCAGGGTTCACTTCCAAGTGCTGTCAGGTTCTCTAAGTACCTCCTGTGTGACCCAGAGTATGCCTGCTTAATGGACCCTACTCCTCTTGAGTTTGGGTCGTGTTTCACCTTTTGGTTGCAAAATAAAGCCCAGAGTTATCCTGGCTAGTGGACAATCCTCTATTTTCCCCTTAGGGCTTGGTGTGGCCTTTGTTGTTCCTGCACATTCTAGTGTCATGAGGTGGCAACTGTTTCAGGGCTGCCTGTCTTTTGTCCTGCTCAATGACTGAAATAACCATTGAAATTGTAGCAACTACTAAAAAAATTGTGATGGCAAACTTGCAGCAAATGATGTAACGATTCCTGATTATATTTAGTATAAAGGGCTCAATAACATTACCATGTCAAAAATTATTTTTTAATTAACATTAAAAAAATTCCTGACAAAATAGAATATATTATAAAATTAAATCAATGATTCATAAAGGATAACAATCACTTTCTAACTTCAACAGTATAAAAACTTTAAAAACAAATTGCATTACTTGGATGAATTTAAAATACGGTAACAATAGAAACTCGTCTGTTGGGTAATTTCTGGGCATAGCAATCCAAAGAAGTGATGATAATGTAACTTGAATACTGAAAGCAATAAATGGCACTATGTATTATACTAAAAAAATCATAGGTTCAAATCAAAACATGTAAATATATCACATTTTCAATTCAAAAATACTTTTGGTAATGTCTAGCACTCATCCTCTGGTGATGATACATGGGCATAATAAACTGCCATTTAATATATTTCATAGTTTAGTTGCATAGTAACAATTACAGTGCAATGAGTAAACATAAAATAGACAAGCATATGCTTCAAAACAGCTTGGTGGATCACTAATATCTTGTCCATCTTGCACTAAAAATACTGTATGGTAATAGAAATTAAGCTTTACCAACTAAAAGGTTAGACATGGAATACAGTATTATAACACTACAATATACACACTGATGATATTGCAATAAAATTCCTTGTGAAATATATATACAAAGGATAAAGAATCAATTCAAATGAAAGGGACAAAGTCCAAATCTAATGTATCATAATTTGTCGTTGTCTGTACAATAACCAGGTATTACCAACTTGAAAATAAGGATTACAGTATAGGCTTCTTTTTTTTTTTTACAAATGTATGTATATTGCACAATAATTCATAAACCCTTTAGAAAGATTAAAATACTGTATACTGTCTAAATAAACAAAACTTGCCTTAAGAGTTGCACTTGACCCAAGATGCCTAATGTTAAACCATAAATTGCACAAATATTAGCATGGCACCATCCATGTTCATTATAATAAACTAAAAAATTACTTTATAAAAAAGTACTGTAATTGCATTTAAGTACATGAAATTATTTCATATATTTTTACACATTTAGTCATAAATAAGTACTCATTTTCTGCAATAATTACAGGTGGCCTGAAATTTCTGCAGTGTTGAATGATGCAGATTCGGAGTCAAGCATGCAAGTACCACGTTACAGAATTACAAGAGTGAATCTTCTATAGCATGTATACATTATGCTAATCCTTCACACCCTACATTCTTGTGATCTACAAGATTTTTTAGTTGTATTTATGCATTACTGCACATCCCAAGCATTGGATTGTATTATGTACAGTACTAAATTTGTGGATGGAATATTGTGTGACCATTAAATATCCATACTAAAATAGATGTTTTGAGAATGGAAAAAGTTACGTTTTGGAATTCGTTGGTACTGAACCCTATTTTTCCCCCCACATACAGTACTGTGCTGCACCTTTAACCTAGTGGGCATCGTTGGCTGAAAGTGGCCAACTTGACACACTGTTTATAGTATGTCATGTCGGTCACTTTCAACCAGTTGTCCCTACTGGGATATTTTATTAAACTTTTTCAGAAGTATAACCACTGAACAAATATTGGGCCACCTTAAATGTACAATGTGGTGAAGTACATTGTACATTACTGTACATTTAAGTAATGGTGAATCCACCATTACTTAACGTACAGTATGGTGAAAATTTACTTGTCACAGCTAACACCTTCATATACAGTACTGTACAGGGGCTTTGAAAATGCTTGCGATTCATCTAGTGGTACATAATAGTGTACTACTTACTGTTTTATCAGAAAGCATAATACATCAGGGATACAAAGTCCATGAAGAAAAACTGATTTACTATGAGGATCATCCTTAAGGAGCTTTACACGTTATTATTCAGTAATGTTCTAAGACTTGAAATAAGAAACACTAAAGGAAATGTATTGTTATTATTCAGTAATGTTCTAAGACCTGAAATAAGAAACACTAAAGGAAATGTATTTCATACAGTACTTCAAAGACATCTAGAATTATCTGAACATTAAAATTAGTTGTTAACACTAACAACAGTATAAACTACTATATCTGGAAATGGCATGACTATTGCTGTATAATACTTTGAAAGAAAAATCAGGCTCTTGCATTCCCCCATAGTAACTTTTGTTCCTGGTAACACTAAATGATCACAAGACAGTTAATCAACAGGACACATGAAAAGACACTGCTCCTCTCTGCTTCAACACAAACACCGCCATCCTTCGCTACTGTGCACTGTTGAGAAGGTAGCAGCTGGAGTGATCTGTTTATCGGTGCATCTATAGTACAGGGCTACTGTTACCACAGTGCAAAAACTTAAAGTTCAATTCCGTGATAACCACTTGTTCGCCAAGACTAAAATACTGGAGAAAATCTCCAATACTGGCAATATTCACCATCCAAGAAGGCAAAGGCAGTGTTAAACAGTACAGTACTACTATTCTCCAGCGACAAGGACCTCTACAAACCATTCTCCACACCAACTCAGACCGCCCTGCTTGCTGCCAACCTTGCACTCGCTCTACTACGGCTCTATCTGGCAGATAGGACCATATTTGCCAGACGCATCAACTCATGGATTACCATCCAAAAAAACGATGGAATCCTCACCAACATCAACTATCAGAACCTGGCACTGACTGCAGTCGCAGCTAAACTCATTGCCAGTGGCTTCTGCAACGGTACAGCTTCTGCAGCGACCCTTACCACTGAAAATGGCCTTACATGCTATAGAATTGCAATGGCACCCGCCTTCATGAAGAAAAGGTACACAGAGCTGAGGCAGTGTTTTAAGTGCTACCCGTGTATGCACTTCACCAAGAAATGCACACGGCAATAGGGAAATGCAGTATTTACACCCAGGACCACACTACACATGTTGAGCTGTACGGCCAACCACCAATGCTGCTTACTTTGCAATGGCGAGAAAACTGCCATGTCACCTGATTGCCCCTACAGACAGGAGGATCTTAAAATGGTGGCGAGTGCAGCCTCCAACACTCCTCGCCTGGCCAATTGGCAATCAGAAGCATTCCCTGCCCTGCCCGGCAGTACACTTCAAGAAGCAGCTACCTCACCACCGTCTGGCCCCTGGGCAGTGGTTGTGACCCACACCCAACCGACTTCACTACCACCAGCAAAGTCTGCAGCCACCACCACCACCACCTTGCTTTCTGTACTCCTCCACCTTGCTAACAAAATGACTGATGATCTCCTTCCCACTCTGGCAATGGCACCTGCAGCCTCACCCACAGCGTCCCATGTTCCTGCAACAGGTCCTTCATCACTGACCCTAGTATTTCATCCCACTGCAAGACCGCCCACTCCAACAACTGAGGAACCTACCTACAGCTAATCCTGCAATTGAGCCAGCAACCCTGCCAATATCTAATCAGGAAGAGTCCTACTCTACAATCAACTCTGATGCCTCGGTGGACGTCATCAGCACACTTCCACAACTGCTGACATGACAGCAAATACTCTCCACATCTTGTTCAGACTACATCAAGGCCACCCCCCCCCCCCCCATCAACTTCATATGGACACGAGATGGCTGGTGGATGGAAACAATAATGGCCGCAAGCAAGTGCAATTACACTTTGGAGCTAAAGGACAAGAATGTCCAGAGATTACAACAAGAGTTACAAGGAGGACAAGAAACTGGGTTTACCCCTTAAGTGGTATGTAAAAGCAGAGACAATTCACTGGTTGCGGCACTACTGTACTATACCAAGAACTCTTCAACCTGATGTGCTACAAATGTTACCCAAACAGTAACCTCTCCAGTAACCAGCCAAATACACAGTACAAAAACAGAAGAAAATGTAATAATCAGGCACCCGACACCACCAAGAAGGAAGCTGGCCAACACAGAAGAGCAAAACCTCCTGTATGACATCTGCCGCAAGACGTCATATAACCTTCAAATGCCTACATATTATCGTCAGCAAGCTCTAATCCAAGGTGGCTGGGCCACCGCCTTAACTTTCCCCCTCCACCTCACATCCCATTCAGCGCATCCTCATCCATTCTTCCAATCCCTTCTTACCAGCTCTATGGTCATGGGATTCAACAGTCTCAACACTAAATACTGAACACTTGTCATATCTTTTATTACAACATGTATACACAGTTAGTGACCCAAATGAATATATGTAAACTATCGTTATCAGTTTTCAGTTAAGCCTGGTATTTCAAGATAATTGTTGAGATTCAGTTCTAAATCATTCATTTATATAACATTATTTGCTTATCTAAAAGTTTCTAGTATCGCTGCATTTTAGAGATACTGCAATTCATTTAAGTGAATATTCCTGCAATTCACTATCTGCTCCAATATATGATTCAAGCTTGCAATGATCACTTGGATTTAAGAATGGATTTCTTATGACAAAATAATTATAACTTTGTTGAACATTTGAAAAATTAAAATTATATAGTACTGTCAAATATTCTTGCATAGTTTCTCATTACAGTACATATAATTTTCTTATACTTAACATTCATGAAATTGGCAGGTGCAGATAAAAATGTAAACTTTGTCTGATAAAATGACAAAACAGTAATGGTTATCAAGACCTGAGCAACAAACCAAATGCAAGCATGTGCTGTATTGCAGACTTAAAAATTACATATTCTGATTGCTAACTTATGGAATGTATGGAGACCAACTAAATTCATTCATTGATATCCAACCCTGCTGGTTATTTGATATCACAGCTCTGACAATGCTTTGGACTCGCCAATGAAACATGCAAATAAACTGCAGTTAAGTATGATTGTAGAATTACTTCTTATCTGCACATGGCTGCTGATTCTACCAAGGTTAGACCCTGACATGAGTAAGAACCAGTCTGGTGTGCAGAGAACATTTTCAGAAATTTATTAGTAGGTGACCATTTACATGCAAGTGATATAACAACTGTTATTAGGGCACAAGAGAAAAGTAAACACTCTGGCCTGAGGATCAAATAATAACAAAGGGATAAAGTGAGCCCTGATATTTAAGATTGGAGACAGACAAAAACAAAAAAATCTCCTTGTTTATTGCAGAAGTTCATTGAAAACCAACCAACGAGACAAAATTGAAGATCACAAGAATTTTTAGGAAACAATGTTCATCCCATCGCTAAAGTGAGCTAATCAAAGTTTTGGACCCAGTGCAATTCTCAAATCCGAGGCTCATTCTGCAGTTTATGAAGAAGACAGGCCCCTAGTTTTTTATCTACCCCATCTTTTTTTCACAAGAATTGCCATGCAATTCTTATGATAAAATGTACAAGAAATATACCTAGTTAAACAATTCTTTGTTCTTAATTGTTTCATTTGTTAAGTGTGCTAATGTGTGTTCTACAGTTACATTCTCATTACAGTCACAATGGTAACCTGACCATAAAACACCTTTAAAGATGGAATATTAAAACCAATGACTAAAAATAAATTGCAAACATATGAGCTCACCAACATAACTGGATATAAACACCAAGTAGAAAATATTCCTATATACTGTGTACTTAATATAAAACAGAACATTATGACTGAGCAATACAGTAGTATGGAATACAAATGATTTGATTTGTAATCTAAAATGCGCATATGGAGAGCATTTTAAAAGTCTAGTTACTCTAAACATTATTTAAACCACAGAAAGCACTTGCAAGGCAAATATTTCATTTCCCTTTCAAATAACCATCTTGAAAGGAATGGCTTAGTTGAAACTTGATGGGAAATTCATAGTTTATATTTCAAAATCACAAGCACCTGTGTCAATCACTACAAAAAATACACTACAATCATGGGAGCTAGCCGTATTGGTTTAAGAATACATAGAATTAATGCATTCATTACAATTTCTTGTAACTTTATTTTTACTATTTTAAAAAGCACTATTTTATATTTTCTCCATTCTTCCCATATGTATTTTCAAGACTTTTCTTAAAATCAGTAAATGACTGATCTAGCTTTGGTTCCATCATATCTTTTAATTCCTGTACAAAACCATCAACTTTCTCAGCACCTCTTACCTTTTCCTTTAAGTATTCACTCTCGTTCGTGTGTTTAGTTAAACAATCATTAACATCTGGTAACTTGGTCTCATCATCAGAAATATAAATCTCAAAAAGGTTTGACAAATCCATCCCTTTTGTTTTCAGCCAAAACTGATACCTTCTAGCATCATTTGTCATTCCTTCTGCTCTGACATCTATATCTATAATGTCTTTATCTTCCGAATATTTCGAACCTCGAAGAAATCTGAAATAGAAGAAAAAGCATAGGGACAATTACTTGCATTACAAGGTTACATAAAACTCTGCAAGTGTTCCCATTACAATGATGTAAAACTTACTTAAAGAATGCCTCCTGTCCTCTTGGAGGTAGATGAATAAATTTGTTTGTATTGCGCCATGCAAACAATTCTTCCTTATCGGTAGGCACGCCACGCTGTTTCTGTTGAACCTGAAAAAATCAATCTATTAAATCAGGAAAATACAATGATACTTTCTACAAAGAGGAACATGCATTTTGCAGTCCAAGGAACAAAACATCTAATGCAGTACCACATGTTTTGTCTTTTGTGTTGTATTTTGTTGAACCGTGTAGACATAAATCACTACACATAGATTACTGTGCGCATTTATGTACTAACTTACCTGTGCTTACAAGACAAATTTCAGCTGCTGGGCCCGTCAGTCAGTCATTTGCCTATTGCCATGTCTCCTGACCCTCTTACTGCATATTATAACAACTCTTGAACCCCAACCCCAAGTGTGATTGGAGTTCAATCCAATGTTGTAAAGTAACTGGCAAATAAACTATGCCTACCACTGAAACTCAATTTCAGAAACTCTCTGGAACATGATAAAATCCCTCAACATTGGTATTCAGTACACACTGCCAGGTACCTCAAGCAAAATGAGTTTCTTCAATATGTGATGAACTCTTAGAACTACACCCCATTTAATTTCAACCTGATTTTTATTATTTCATGCTACTCTATTTTTGTTAAAATATTTCCTTCCATTGACTTCGTGTGTACTTGTACGCTGACTAATAACAAGCCATTATCAAAAGGCATCAAACCTACTAGACTATTGATCACCGTCTGTGACACAGACGGTGTCACCGCAAAGTAAACAATGTTGTTGTTGTTGTTATAGATTCAGCTACTCGAACAAGTTCCAAGTAGCACGGACTATGGTGAGCCCGTAGTGGACTTACCTGGCCCAGGAGCGGTGCTGTAAAAAAAAAAAAAAAAAAAAAAAAAAAGTAAACAAGCAAAAGGGGTCTAAATATCTCGGCAGGAGGAGGAAGGCAATTTAATAGTACAGTATTGTACTAATTTTGTTATCCGCAATTCCTAGCCATCTATCTTTTCAACGGTTGTGTTATGAATAACCGGGTAGCAGCATTACGAATAAGGAATGGCCAATAACCATTTAGAAAGCTCATTTATGCTTTAATTTAATACGATATTCAAAATAATGAACAGAAATATTACTAACGAAAAAACAAAGCAAAACGCTAAGACATCTCTATACAATGACATGTAAATTACATGACAGCTTCAATTTGTTGTTGTCTTTTTTTCTTACTTTCCTAGCTCATGCGGCTATTTACATTCAAACCTTGTACCACTTGGGCGACAGAAACAGAACTCAATCTCACCAACTGTGCCAGACATTGTCTGGTGTTGTCAATTAATACATGGCTCTCGTTATCCATGTGTCACCTTGCACACCACGCCTCCCCAACGTGTTCTGGCGCACTATACGCTGGTACGCACCCGAGAACACCCCCCCCCCCTTACACACGATGAGGCCCCACTCCTGCCACTCCCATACAATGAGAGACTTAAGTCTCAATAAACACTTGAACATTGAGACATTTCTCTAATTAACATAGGTATTTATACAAAGTTCATTTGTTTTCATTATTTATAATAAATAATATATTTTATGTTAACACATATGGAGGTACAATGATACACTTGTTAGTGTGCGTTACGCTCAACCCGATTTTTTCGTCCATACGCTATAGACATGTATACTAGACAATTAAAAAACAACAATATTCTAATTTAAAGCTTACAGTCTATAAGAAAGAATTTTACAATAATAATAAACATGGCGATTTCTAGATACACGGGTGAAGGAACCCTGGCCCTATTGATTTGAACCGGCCCATTCGCCAAGTGGAGCCCCCCCATAGAGGGGTTAAAGGAGGGGGTTCCACTAATTTCCTTTTCCATAACATATTTGTTAATTACTTTCTTTGGAAATATCGTGGAGTATTACACGTTTATTGTGTTTGACAATCACTTTACCAAATCCTTGTAAATAAAAACTTTTCCCATAATTTCATCTTATGGTTCCAGACTTATGATTCATAGTACAGTCGGGTGCGTTCTCGACTCATAATCGGGAACTCTGGGTTTGATTCCCGGTCGGGACAGAAGTGGTTGGGCACTTTTCCTTTCACCTAGCAGGAAATATGTACCTTGGAGTTTGGCAGTGTTGCAGGGTTGCATCCTGGGGAAACGTCGGCAGTTTGACCTTAAAGGAGGAACTCGATATAAGCCTAAAGTACACGTGTTTCATGTCCCCGACGTTATTTCTGACTTATGGGACCCGCTTTACTGTAGATTATCTATAGAAATTTGCCTATTTTTTGGTAATAAACTTAGGCCTACGCATACGAACATGTAACACTCCCGTTACCCTTAGCTATACCAGTTTAAGAGGTTACAGAATTATTGCAAAAAGTTATAGCTACATTTACCTAGTATCCCTGTATCGCAAGATGGAATGTCATCCACAGAATGCAAGTTGGGATTTTAATAGCCTACACTTCAAATGGTATTACATAGTTTTCCCGGCTTAATGCCTTTTTTTTTTTTTTTTTACTTTGTACGTGATATGTCTGTCACTGACAATCCTGCATTCCCCAGAGTTCAATCCTCTCCCACAAAACGTAAAACAGAGTCCCGATCTTGTTGAAATTATTGTCACTCGCATTGAAAATGCACTAGAAAAGACGCTGAACCAACTCCTAACTAATTTTTTTTACCCAAGTAAACCAACCCATCCCTGAGCAACCCGTTCTCGCACCTTCGTATAGTCAATATTGACTTATTAAATGCGTGTATATGTGACATTCTAAACATACTAGTTTACCTTGAAAAGCTTCATAGAAAACACCGACCTTACCTAACCTTCTTAGTATGTTAAGATAAGCATGTTATTGCTTCGTAATTACAATTACTTAACCTATTATAGGTATAGGTTATGTTTAGTATGTCACATATGCACGTATTTAATAAGTCAATATTGACTGTAAGAAAGTGCGAGAACGGGTTGCCCTAAGGCTGACCCAACAGACACCCCCCCACCCAATCGACATCTACAGACAATGACATCCGCCCTAACACAGCTACCATTGCTGGAAGCCCAGCGTTTGAACTGATACTGGAAAACCACCTAAATGACTTTGCAGCACGCCTTACCAAAATTACTCCCCAGGCTAATTTGCCACAAACTCGAACCACCGGCACCAAGAGTAAGAAAACCCCAGTTGTACAAACCCCCCAACGACCTGGCACTTTGACTGAAAAAACACACAAACCACACACTCCCACGCCACATTCTCCAACGACCCCCATATTCAACACGGTGTACTAATGGCACGTCAAAGAAAACTGATGTAATCACATCTCAGATTGATTGATTGATGAAGATGAAGCAACCCAAAAGGTGGCACGGGCATGAATAGCCCGTAAGTGGTGGCCATTTTAAGCCATTACCAGTATCAAGAGCTGATACTGAAGATCTGTGGAGGTGCGAATGCACCCTGCATGACGGGAGATGTCTCCCTTGTGAATGTGTTAAGATGAAGATGAAGCCACCCAAAAGGTGGCACGGGCATGAATAGCTCGTAAGTGGTGGCCCTTTTGAGCCATTACCAGTATCAATAGATGATACTGGAGATCTGTGGAGGTGCGACTGCACCCAGCGTGACGGGAGATGTCTCCCGGACCAAATGGTGACCAGATGACATCTCAGACGTAAAAATCCTTTATTAATACAACACAACCCATCTTACCATAACCCAACCTACCCCAAAGTACTTAATGTACTCTAACTTACCCTACCATAATCTACCCTAACCTATCTGAATTGCGACTAATTCCCACACCTACTTCGACTCATAATCTCAGTCTGTTGACTAAACCATACACTTTTCATAAAACAGCAACAATGATACCACCATTAACACAACTCTTCATCTTTGCCATTTCAATTTAGAGATAACACCATCAATGGTGTCCAAAATATGTGTAAGTACTTCATTCATAATGATGTGCTGCCCGCAAAGTATCCAAAATTTGCTAACTGTAGGTAATGCATGCACATGACTGTAAAGCTGCCGCCCAGTTGGGAGGGTGTGCAGTAAGACTAGTAACTGTGTGACTCACCGTAGATGTAAAGTGCCCTGAATAGTGACTGTTGAGCCTCTTCCCAATAATCACTTGTCATACAAAAGATTATTGATGCAAACAAGCCTGAATGGTCCCCAGGACTATATAAGATTATTGATGTGTGTATTTGTATAGGTGATTAAATGTGTATATGTACATGTATGTACATAAGAACAAAGGTAACTGCAGAAGATCTATTGGCCCATACGAGGCTACATGCATGAGTATGTGTGTACATGTATATATAACTCTAATAATTGTGTAACTAGCGTCAAAAAATATTATTTGCTTAGCTAAACGAACTAGAGGGTTCAGTTCCTGAACTGATTATGTGCCTCTGTAATCCTTTACACCACCGCCCACGAGATGGGTATGGGGTGCATAATAAATTAAGAAATTGAATTCCCATCCTTTCCATTCGTAGTTTATTTTCTTATTATCCGTACACCAATAGAAGACATCGATAACTTCCAATCTCTGCCAAATTATGAACATTGATGCGCCACTGTGAGTGAGTCTTCTTTTAACATCACTAGTCAGGCGTCAGGAGGAAAAACCCTTCATGCAAACTCCACGTATTGCGAAGATCAACTATATAGATATCGTTTAGTAAGTTAGTGACTGAAATAGTTGCTAGAGCTAGTATCTCATTCCATTTGGTCTGTAATTAGACTAAGGGGGGGGGGGGGGGGGGTCCCGGCTGTGCCTACATTTCTCCCTCCCAACTCCCTGAAAACTCTTTCAAAACCCCCTTTCCTGACTTCTCCAACTTTCTCTGACAACTCTCCCACCCTCCATCTAACACACATGTTTGTTGTTTAAGATTCAGCTACTCGGAACAAAAGGTTCCATGCAGCACGGGTTATGGTGAGCCCGTAGTGGACTTACCTGGCACAGGAGTGGGGGGTCTAACACACAGATTGATTGATTGATGAAGATTAAGCCACCCAAAAGGTGGCACGGGCATGAATAGCCCGTAAGT